GAATTGTGCGGGGTGTGTTTCAGGTTGTGCAGGAGAAGAAAGCAGCCCTCAGATGCTCCACAGACATCAGGTATCTTTGCAAGGCAGCTTTCCCCCCGACCCTTCTCGCTGTTACATGCCATTGGATGCACTCCGGTGCATCCAAAGGCCGAAAATGAGCCCTTGTTCCTGAGAAGTATCTCCAAGCCAGGAATTCAAGCCATGCCTGGGATCTCTGAGGGCCAAGTCATCTCTGAATCAGGCCCGTCGACCATCATCTGCAACGCTCTGTTCCACGCTAAGTAACTTGGGTCAGAATAATGTTCTCGAGGGGCCCCTCCCTCCCTCTGTTCCTCAGAACTCCTTTGTATTAAAGCATCATAGATAAAATAAATAAATGTCTTGAGAAAGCTCAGCCCAGGCTGGGGAGCTTTCAGCATTACTTAAAGAGGGGAGATGACTAGTGTCAAAAGCAGGACAAAGCCAGACAGCTCTTGCTCTCTCTCCATTTGCACATCTCGTTAGAGAGCGTTCAGGGCGTAATGGGGGCCCAGGTCCTCAAAGGTATTTAAGCTCCTAATGCCCACTGATTTCAATGGAAGTTAGGACGCTAAATACGTTTGAGGGCCATCTAGTCCAGCCCCTTGCGCTGAGGCAGGACCAAATAAACCTAGACCTTCCCAGATAGGAAAGTGTACAACCTGGTCTCAAAAACCTCCAGTAGTGGGATTCCCTTGGAAGTCTATTCCAGAGCTTAACTATCCTTATATTGTAGTTAGAAAGTTTTTCCCGTTATCTAACCTAGATCTCCCTAGCTGCGGATTAAGCCCATTAATTCTCGTCCTACCTTCAGTGGACATGGAGAGCCACCATCCTCTTTATAACAGCCCTTAACATGCTTGAAGACTGCTCACCAGGGCGGAATAGAGCAGGATAATTACCTCCTGTGACTTGCATACAACACTCCTGTTATTACACCCCAGAAAGATATTAGCCTTTTTCACAGTGACATCACAGTCTTGGCTCCGATTCAATTTGTGATTCAGTCTAACACCCAGATCCTTTTCAGCGGTAGCCAGTTAGTTTCCATTTTGTAATTGTGCATTTGATTTTTCTTTCCTCAGTGAAGTACTTTGCACTTATCTTTATCGAATTTCATCTTCTTGATTTCAGACCAGTTCTCCAGTTTGTCAAGGACGTTTGGAATTCTAATCCTGTCGTCCAAAATGCTAGCAATCCCTCCCCGCTTGATATCAGCCACAGATTTCATAAGCATACTCTCCACTCTGCTATCTAAGTCATTAATGAAAATACTGAAAAACAGCAGACCCAGGACTGACCCTGTGGAACCCCACTAGATACATCCTCCCAGTTTGACAGCAAGCCATTGGTAACAACTCTTTGAGTACGGTCTTTCAACCAGTTTTGCACCCACCTTATAGTAATTTCATCTAGACCACATTTCCCTAGTTTTCTTATGAGAATGTCATGTAGGACTGCGCCCAAAGCCTTACTAAAAATCAAGATACGTCACATCTACCACTTCCCCTCCCTCTCCCCATCCACTAGGCCAATAGGAAATTAGGTTGGTTTGCCATGGTTTGTTCTTGACAAATCCATGTTGGATATTACTTATAACCCTATTATCCTCTAAGACTTGTGCCCACTTACATCAGGGCAGATCTGGCCCTGTATTTTGAAGTCAGTTCTGATAAGGGTGAATTACTAATAAACTGCTGCTGAAAATTAGGTGATTTTATCATCATAGTCCGCTTCCACGACGCACAGACGCTGTCATGTATTGGAACAGATCTGAACCTGAATCCATCCTGCATCATCAGACATTACTCAGGGCACAAAAGGCCCTGTCTATCCTGGGCCAATCCTTGCACATCCTCTATGTTGTTACGTCCCGCAAGTGTTCCCTCTCTGGGTACGTCTACAATAAAAAAAAAACCCACAGCACCAAGTCTCAGCGCCTGGGTCAGTTAACTTGGGCACAGGCTGCGGGGCTAAAAATTACAGTGTCACATTCAAGCTTGGGCTAGACCCTCTCCCCTCGCAGGGTCTCAGAGGCCGGATGTCTACACCGCAACTTTGAGCCCCGCAGTCCGAGCCCAAGTCAGCTGACCTGGGCCGGTGGCAGCTGTGCCATGGCCCTTTTATTGCCATGTAGACGGGCTCTCTGAGCACTGTTCGACAGAGGAATTCTTTCAGCGGCCTCTTTTACATGTTCCTCCTCCAGCTGCTTAATGGCAGGCCTGCCACAGCAGACACTCAGTCTTCACTCTTAATGCACGTCCCCAATATTTCCACCTCCTTTTCTGCTGGATACATTTGGAGCTCATGGGTTGCTGAACTTGCCGACCGAAAGTCAGCATTTGTTATAAATCCATTCCATTTAATAGCCAGCCTTTCCCCGAGGCCGTTGCTTTTGAAGGCATTTGTCGCCGTTGGTGGCTTTCCACCTTTCCACATCCCCATGTTAAGGTGGAAATCACTCTTGGCTTACAGTTTCACAACCTGGTCTTTAAACTGGAGAGCATAGAAGAGACGAACCTGCTTAGACTCACCCAGGGCTGTCCCCAGCAGGGACCAAGTTACAGCCGAATTTGGGCCAAACAGGCATTTGCCGTGCTAGTTTCTCCCCCTCCACATCCCACCCCATTTTAGCAGGCTTCTCACTCAGGCTAACAACAATGTATTTATTTCTGGGACCACTGTGATACCTTTTGACACTGAAGTAGAGTCTACACCATAGGAGGCCCTCTGACCCACGGGCCACCACAAGTCACTTGTGAAGTCAGCTTTATAAACGGGGGATAGCATCTGGAAGTTCCGGCCAGCCTCCTAAAGGCTTTGTCTCACACGGATGCTGACCAAGAGCCACATCTGTGTATAGGGTACCAGCAAGCTACTGGTACAAACTACTAGAATTAGCCAGCTCTTTATGTAGCTCTACAATAAAGCTGAGAGGTTTCCATTAGTCGCGAGGTAGGTTTGGTCTGTGGGGTTTAGGATGAAGTTAAATTTAGTAGCGAGGTTTCTGCTCCTGGGGAAGATCTGGTGCGTGGAGAGAGCAGCCCGGTACGGGAGGTGAAGCACATAGCGATAGTACGCAAGTAACAAAGTGTACGGTTGTCGCAAGGATGCATCGTGGAACCTCCCAAGACCGACACAGTCGCATGGATTCAAATGATGTGTGTGTCCTAAGCTCACACAGCGGCGGCCCTGCTAGATTTATGGACAGTAAAAGCGTAACCCTGGCAGAATAATGTCATTCTATCATCTCGCGAGTTTAGCCAGGCTACCTGCTGCTGCTTTTGTGATGCCACCCAGCCATGTTTTGCCTCCTGCATGCCTGGACACAGGCACACAGAACCGTTCAGGACCCTTGGCTAATGGGATCTGAGTGAGTTCTAGTAGGTTTAAATTAGTTTTAAGTTATACACCAGTCTAACAGTAAATAACCCTACCAGGTTATTATTGTGTTTCCCTGTGGGGTGCTGAGAATAAAGTTTTAGGATCACAGGAATTGTCAGATTGGATCAGACTCAAGATCCATTTAGTCCAGCTAATTCAGAGGAAGGTTCAAAAACCCGGCAGCAGGCAGATGTGGTGCAATCTGCCCCCCTCCCCCCACCACACACACACACACACACACATTAGGTCTCACCCTGATCTGCAACAGGGATTGGCTTATGTCCTGATGCATTAGGTTTAATATGCCTTCCACAAAATTTGTTTCAATTAAACAAAAACAAATGATGATGACACTGGATCTTCCTATTATTCAGATGAAGGTCTAATTCCATTTTGCTAAACTTCTGGCCTCATTGACTTCCTGTGGCAATGAGTTCCAGAGTCTAATTGTTCTTGTCAGGTATTATATAGCACTTTTCATCAGAAGGGCTCAACGCACTTGACAAAAGGAGGGTCATGATCATTGTTCCCATTTCACAGATGGGGAAACTGAGGCACAACGAAGGGACGTGACTTGCCCAAGGTCACCCAGCAGGCCAGCGATGAGCCAGGAAGAGACATATCTTTCCAATCCAGTGCTCTAGCCATTAGGCCATATATTAGATCTAGCACATTGCAGAGTCATGTAAGACTGGAAGCAGTCAACAGGCCCTTCATATCTACCACGGTTTGAGGACAAAGCGGTCATCTCCACATTACATCACCTTTGATATCACAAGTATCCAGAGGCTTAACAGACTACAGAGTAACCGGCAAGTAAGTCCATGCAAATCATCATAAACCAGACCTCATGTGAGGAAATAGCCAGGAGAGAAGCATTGTTAGCTTAGCTTGAAATAAAGGGACAGAAATCCACCCGCAATCTGGGACAACAGGGAAACACTGGCCTTTAGAAACCGGGCCCCAAGCTAAAGGTTGAGAGGTGGGTCCAACACAGATGAGAAGTAACAGGTGTCAGGGATTTGGGGGGTGGGGCTGTGCGGGGGCATAAGTGTCAGAAAAATAATTTGAAGGCACCCAACTTTGAAGGGAGGGAAATTAGAACAATGGGGGGGGGGGGGGGAAATGACAGAAAAGAGCCAGACCAATCAGCCAGGAGACCCGGCACCAATTTCAAGGCAATCTGAGGATTTTAGAGCCCCAAGGAGAGTTGTGATTTAAAGGCAAAGCTGCTCTAAAAACCTTAACCCCTGTATGGTAGAACTGCCCGTGCGCTGGGGTGAAGAAAGCCCTGCAATCAGACAGCTGCTCGGGGGCATTTGGATACAGCCAGAGGGCGGCTGTTCCCTCTCAGACGTGCGCTGGGAATTCCCGGGGGGAAGTTCTGTGCTATCCAGGAGCTCAGGCCAGGCCAGAGGCTCCCAATGGTCCCCACTGGCCTGGGAGCCGGTGAATCTAGTACCTGGAGCCTGTGGGTGGACCGAGACGAGGTGAAGAAAGTCCCCTGAGCAAATGGGGGCAGGTGCCCAAGCCCGGGCAGGCCCCACCCGCCCTCCAGGGTCCTTGTCTCTCCAGCCGCTTGGGCGCTCAGCACTTACCCATGTTGACAAAGCTCATGACCGTGTCCGCCCGGCTGATGACTCTTCCCAAAGGAGGCGCCTGGATGCTCAAGCTGGTCAGCACGGGCCGGGAGACCCCCCGGCCCCAGCCCACCTGATCTTCCTCTTCGTCCTCCTCCTCCTCCCTGGCCATGGCGTGGTAAAGGTCCAGCATGAAGAGGGGAGCGGAGGAGGGCAGCTTGCCCCCGGCGGAGGCCTTGGGTCGGGGTCTGCCCGGCAGCCCGAGGATGGACAGGATCTCCCGCTGCATCTCCCGCTTCTCCCGGCCGCTTAGCCGGCGCTGCAGGAAGCTGGAGGCATGGAGATGGCTCCGGAGGAAGCTGCTGTTACCCAGGTCACACAAGAGCCCCAGGAGCCAGAGCAGAGCCCCGCAGAGCAGCCGCATCGCCTCTGCCGGCCGGGGCCGTGCGCTCCGCTCCCGGAGGCGCACGGGCTGCGCCGCGCCGGCCTCACCAGCTGCCCATTGGCCGGCGCGCGTGGGAACGGGCGGCCGGGGCTTGGGATGGGTCGTGGCCAGACAAGCGCCAGGTGCGGGGCCTTGCGGGAGCCTCCTCTCCGAAGGCGGAAGCTGGAAAACGGAGCCAAGCCGCAGCAGCGCCTGGCTCAGGCTCTCCCCGCCGGGCCCGGGACGCGGAGCTGCCGCGGAGTCATTCAGCCCGCCCGGGGGAGCCCCGGCCAGCGAGGCGTCGACAGCAGGCGGGCACCCCTCTGCCCTGGGGCTTTCCGCGGGGAGCTGTTGCTGGGTGTGCGCTTTAACCACCGCCAGCACCCGGAGCACGTGTTTGTACAAAAACCCTCGGCCCGCCCCCGGGCTAAAGGGGCCCCCGGCCGGGCGGCTGAGCGCAAGCGGAGGCGAGCTGGGGTAGCTCAGGGCGCAGCTCTCCAAACACCTGGGGAGGAGCGCGCCTGGCGCGCTGGAAACACCGAGCGAGGTGGCGCCCCGCAGCGCTCCCTCCCAGCCCAGCACCCCCGGGCTCCGCTCGGCCGCTGCCCTCCTCCTGCCTCCCGCGGGTTGGCTCTTGCGCTGGCCGCGCAGCTGTGCGCGATTTTCATCCCCCTCCCCCGCGAGAAGGGGCGCACAGAGAGGAGGGCTGCCGGGAGGCCAGCGGTTCTGCGGGCGCAGCGCTGGGCCCCGCCGAGCGAGCAGCGAGGGGCTGGCCCTGACCCCGGCCCCGGCCCCAGTCTTTCGTCCACGGCAATCGGGGTTTCCAGCGAAACGCTGAGCCTCAGGGGCCAATGCTCCGTGATCCGGCTTTCCCTGCGGCACAGGGCCCTGCTTCCCACCAAGGCAGCCGTCTCGGGACGGGGACGACAAAAGCCCATTTTGACCCCACAACGTCTCTGCTCTGCCACCCCCTCCAGCCCCGCTCTGCTGCCGGCATGGCAATAAGCCCCACCCCGCGAAGGGGGGCTTTCCTGGGCCGGTCGGTCCGGGGTGAAGGTGGGCTGGGTGGGTTGGTATCCACTGCCCTCTCCTGGCTCGGCTCTTAACTAGGACACTTCGCCCTCCTGCCTGGAACTGGGGGTAGAGTCCCAGGTGATGCTGAGCGGAGACGTGTCTCTTATACCGACCTGCTATTGAAAGGGAGAGGCTGGGTGGGTCTGGACAATCTGCACAGCAGACAGGGAGGCAGGCAAACGTTTCTCCACCACCAGTTTCTTACAAAAATGCAGATTTCGAGCATACATTCATGCCCTCTCCCCTCCCTTTTAAAATCGAACCTGCTGTTCAGACGGTTTCCAAACGAAACATTTCAATTTTTTATTCAAAAGCAGCTTGTTTAAAATTTTACTTTTTATTTAAAACTTAAAAACCTCAGAACCAAAACGAAACACTTCAGTGGAGGTGGAAATGAAGCTCGGCTCCTCCTGAACCAACTTAACAACAACTGGTGTGCTGAGTTTTAGGTTGAGCCAAAACAAAACTTATTTATTAGTGCAAGCCACCAAACGGAGAGGGGGAAATAGGGTTTGCTCAGGTCTATGTAGAATGTCATTCCCAAAGGCGAGAAAATGTGTAAATGAGACTACACCCTCTAGGCAATACTGTACTTTTCAATTCTACCAGTGGGTTAGCCTAAGAGGAGTTCCTGGGAACCACTGGATTTCCATCCATGAATGTGTTTGGTTTACAATGGCCACACAGGACAATCTGAAATGATGGGGTGCAAGAACAGTGTTCAACAAGTGAAAACTGGAGTGTAGACTAGTGTTCAACAAGTGAAAACTGGATATATTCAAGATCAGAATCCATGGGCGTCTTAGCAAAGATAAGCACATTTTGAAATGAACTGCAGGCCCATTTTACAGCCTGGGTCTGCTGCAGTGACCTTTGCTTAAAGAAAGAGCTTTTAAAAATGTGTCACTACACCGGGGCAGGTGCTAGTGACAAGTACTGCTCAATGCAACCACAATCAGTAGTCAAGGGACAACATTTAAGACCCTAACAATTTCAGATCACCCCATGTTTAAAAAACATTGCTTTGCTTGGAGGAGCGCTGACTCTCAGGAATGCAGAACTGTTTATGCTGTTGCACGGTGGTTAGGTACCTGAAGTGACTGAGACAGACACCAAATGCAGTTCTGAAAACAGGAAACTTGCAAAGCCATACCCGGTTCAGCTTGTATTGCATCAAGCCCATTGGCAACACTTCAACAACAACATTGAGGAAGCTAGGCTTTGAAGGGACAATGCTAGTACATCATCTGTGACGCGTGTGTATCACAGACACTTCAAAATGGATTTGTTACATAGATTAGAGGGTTAAGAGGAACTTGACCAGAAGAATTCTGCTCAGCAGCTGCAGACTTCTGTAGTCTAATGTACATTTTTACACACACTGACATCTGAAAAGCAGGTCCCCAAGGGTTGAATTTAGGGAATTATCAAGTTTTCTGACATCGATAGCCAAATGTATTAATATTTTACAGGGCCCATAAGTGTGCTCGGTGCCTCTCCGCTAACACTGAGCCACAACCCTGCCTCGGGGGCTTGCAATATAAATGATGGACCTGAGATTATACTTCAGATGAGAATGTCACTTTCATTAGGAAGCACATAGGTTACAGATACCACAGCGGATGTAGCAAACAACTTTGATGCAGATACGCTGAGTGTACAGTGAGCTCGGGGGGGGGGGTGAGGAAGGGGGCAGGAGGATTTTGGAGTTCTCAGATATTCTCTTGAAAGAATTCACTTTAATTTTTTCCTTCAATGCATTTTCCCCCTTATATGATAAACCTTTCATGCAATCTTTCTGAGGCACAACACAGCACAGATTTACATTCAGGTAGACAGTCAATACATTCAAGTACAAATAAAACAGCCGTAGCTGTGGGAAGGAGAGTTGCAGTAAACAGAATGGCTCATGGAGTAGAATGCGTAGTCATTAGAGACAGGCCCTTCCAGGAAGGTTCAGGAATCAAGAGTTCCTTGTTCCTGTTTAGCTTAACCCGCTTTGAAAACGGGTTCAAATAAACAGGAACAAGTCACTTTTATTCCAGATTGAATGCCCGCACCTGGAATTAGTCAAGAATAGCTACTGCACTTTAAATTTACACCCTAGCTTAATCTAAAACCACTTTCATGCAGAGACAAGCCCTTGAAATGAGATTTGACTCAAGAAAACAAATTAGCCTGAAGCAGGGGGCTGGGGGCAGATGTTAAAGGCAGCATTCACCACTTGTGACGAGGAGAGAGAAGGAAGGAATCTGGTATTTGAGCACCATGTAACAGGAGCATTAGAGATACGTTCGGAGAAATATTGCCCTTTCTCCTTGCCTGCTAAATCCAGGGAAGGCCTTGAAGACTTTTGGACTAGATTCCATAGGAGAGGAAGCCAGGGAAGACTTGTGGGAAATAGGAGCAGCAAATTATACTATACTGAGCTCAAGAAACAAGCCAGTGTCTTGGAAAGTAGGAATTACTGGCATTGGGAGACTTCAGCATGAAGATACAATGGGGTGAGACAGGGTTAAAAGAAGTGAAAAGAGTTTTGAGTTGAGTGCACCTAAGCTCCTGCCACTAAGGGTAAATCCGGAATTGGGGGTGGGGTGGGAATCAAGTTTGGGATGAAGATGGTTTGGTTACTAGAGACAGATTTACCCCTGGCATTAGTTAATGCCCAGGCTTGTAAGCAGCCACACGATCAGCTGCTGTGCACCTTACAAGCCAGGTGCACCACGTTCTCACTCCCCGCAGTGCAGACATAGGAAGAGGGAATGTGATAGGAAGGGGGGGGGAAACTTGGGTTTTCCAAGTCAACTAGATCTAGATTTTAGTGCCTTGCTCCCCTAGGGCTAGTACTGACTTTACACAGCTTGGGCTAGAGGGACTTGAAAACCCAGTACATCCCACAGCAGGATACAAATTGCATTAATTTCCCTGGTCCCATGCAGCAGTATGGAGGAGCTGGACTCTTGGCAATGACAGGCACCTTAAGACAACACATTGCTTTACTTCTCATAGTACAGCCACATGCAGCTTTTAAACTGGAGCAAGGTTTGGCTGGATCAGCTGTATAACCTTAGATTGCTCCCTGCTGTTCTTGTGCTTTGCAAGCCAATTTCCCCCTGAGCTTTCACTTTCTATGGCTCACATTATTCACCTCCGTCTTTAACGACTGCACGTTCTTATGTATTGCTCCACTGTGGAACCGACCACTTATCTCTCCCCAGACAGTCCATCGTTACATCATACAGAAGATTATATTAGCATGCTTCCCTGGGATACACATGTAAAAAAAGGGAAAGAAACTAATAAGGATAGGAAAAGGAACTAATAAGGATCTCAAGACCATATTTTGCAAAGTAATTAAATAACCCAAACCATCAAACATCTCCCTACCTGGCAAGCAAGCAGCTCATTCCTCTTAAGTGTGGACCTTGCAGCAGTTATCCAGACCCTTGGTAGCTCCAGGCTAAATTAGTGCAATACACTTCACCTGGAGTTCACCCAGAAACTCTTGGCAGCATGGAGCACAGCTGCTTGCTTTCTGAGTGGTGGAGGATGGTGTGAATTCATAACCTACACAAGTCTCTGCACCGATTTCTATTCACTTGATACCACTCAGTGGGTTGAGTGATTGTTAGAGTCCTGATGTCTTATGCAATAGTTATTGGAGAATCCACCACAGCACGTGGTTTGATTGTGAAATGCCGAGATGGCAAAAGAATAGGAAGCATAGGAATGAAAGAGCGGTGAACCATACATTCTAAGCAGGTCTCCCACATGTGCTCTCAAAGGCAACTTTTGCTGTCTTATAGATGCATTCAAAATACATTTTTATCCAGCCATGCTGCTTTTGCCTTGTAAGAAAACGCTGAAGCTTGAATACGTATGTTTATAAAGCTCGCACTGTGGAATAAAACACGAAGCAAGATTGTTATTACTGCAAGCAATTTTAATACAAAAAAACTGTTTTAAACAGTTCATTGGTTGAGCTTCAGTTTCTGCCTCAATTAAACCAATTGAGAGAATCACACAGCAATATGGTCAGAGCTGAAGAGGAACAATATTTAATAAATACAGGAAGTCCAGATAGCCCCTCCCCAGACCCACCCGCATGGTCACTTGGTCAGTTGTTTTTATCACAAAGAAAAGTCGCATACAAAAGCGAGATAGGACTTGCTAGCAAGTGCGCTGGTGAGACTCATTTAAAGGACAAGCAACGGTGCATGTAAGTCCCAGGTTTCTTCTAGGAGCAGAGGTGACGTAAATCTCAGTCTGGTTTGAAGTCGAATGACCAGTCAAATAATAAATAGGAAAAGAGGTGCAGATAAATAGCAATTCTGTAACAAACAACGTGAGTCAGTCTCTTATGCGAACTGACTGGGTGGCCATCCAGAAGAGTCTTCTAACAGGTAGGACAGGAAGTGACAGAAGCACCTTTCCGTCCCATCCTCTAAAGGACGTATCTGTAGGGTTGCCAACCCAGCGCTCTCTTCTGGACAGCTTTAAAGTTCTACCCCCCAAACCCATCACTATTATTTGCTCTTTAAAAGCATAAGTGCTGGGACAGTATTTTAAAGACAGCATTTGTAATGAACCCCGTTACTGTAGCATGTGCAAATGTTATTAATTCAAACAAACTCCGATTTCTTCAGGTAAAATCACATAACCTTTAAAAAAATGGAAGCAGACGCCCAAAATCCCCTCACCTCATGTGTCTCTGTTTGAGGTATCCATGATTCACAAAAAAAGAGAGTTCCTTGAACACTGTAGGATTCCGGTTTTTCGTTTTTTAAATATAATTTATCTCGCTGAGACAGCAAGTCAAGTTTATAAAGAGGCATTTAGGAACAATCCTAAAAGATAAAGCAGGTTCACACCCTGCACCGCGCAGAAATCCTATGTATAATTTTTTTCTTAACTTTTTTTTTTTTTTTTTTTTTACACTTTCACATCTTGACTTTTTTTGCTTGCTTTCCCTCTCCCACATTTCAGTTTTCTGGGCCCCACTGTGAATAGGGGTGACCAGGAGGCAAATTTTATCTACATAAATATTCACATGAAAATAGTAACTTACAAAAAAGAAAAAAAAACAAAAACAAAACCCAAATAAGGCAGCTTCATAACACAATTATTCTTTTACACTTTTAACAATATAATTTTTCCCGTTTAGAATAAATATACATCCAATGTACGTGGCAGGGTTAAAAATTGGACACAGGTTTTTGTTTTGTTTTAGGGGGTCTTGGTACAGTATTATCTCTTGGGGCCTGGAGTTTTGGGGGTGGCAGTAGTAGGTTTCTTGGACATGGTTGGGATTTTGGAAGGTTTTGCCAACCCCCGTCGCGAACTGCCTTGACCCCCTGCCGCACTGCTTTCTGAAGTGTCTGAACAGGCTGACTGAGTTTCCAGAAGGTCAAAATCGGAGGCATCACTTCCCCGCCGGCTGCTGGCCCGACTCCCTGCCCGACTTCCAGCGCGACTTGTGGGACGACTGGCTGTTTTTTTAGGATCTGAAATTAAATCCAGGTATTTGTGACCCCGCTGAAACACCTCCCCCTTCTAACCCTTAGCAAATGGACCCCACCTCCCTTCAGTACCGCCACCAGTCTGCAGACCCAACAATAGCAGCAATGTTATTAGAAGACTGTGCAATCAATACAGGATCACTGATCGCTCTATGATCTACGATGACAGTGAGCAACTTTGCCTAAAACTTTAAGACTCGCTGGAGAATGTCACAGCTTGTTTCTGGCTGTTCTCACTCCAGGCTCTGGGAGACAGAGGGTCTGTGGTATGAAGCTTTTATTCTGAACACAATTTAAAGGAAATGCCTCTTAAAATGCATCCCAAACTACTCAGGGTCAAGGCAATCACTGAAACATCTCTACTACAAATGGATAAACAGACCAGCCTGTATAACCATGTCCTTTCGTTTATCCTAAGCTATTACAGATGGTCAGTATCTTATCCTTTCTCTCGACTGGAATCCATAGACAGGGACAGCTATGAAAGGAGATACCACATATTTTAGCATCCATTACAGGTAAAACGGTCAACCTAGCACTTACCAGCCCGATTGGTTCTGGCACCTGTAGAGACTGGAGAGGAACTATTACTGGTATCACCCGCAAGAGAAGTTCGACTAGAGTGAAAAGTTGGTCGCTTCAGCTTGCTGCCTGCAGACGGAGTCACCTTGGAATAAAGAACGCATCGAGAGTCTTTTAGATGTCATGATATAATTCACTTTGTAATGGGTTAATATCAGAGGTAGATCTCGGCAACAGGATTCCAATATATAAATACCACCATCATCGTAAAGGTCAAGGAGAACACATACAGTAATTGTTTTATTGTTCCACCAAAGCCTCGTCCCTGAAAACATCATACCCATGGTGGCTTTGGGCCCTCAGGATAGCACTACATGCCAGTGCTTTTCCCTGCAAACCCATTGTTAATTATTTTGTTTAGTTTGACATGTTTTTATATCTATATCGATCCATCTCTGACTAAGCTACAGATCTATTTCAAAATACCTGAAATCTGTCGTCCATCTTAAGGTCCAAGTACTGTTTTGGGTCAAAAGCCACACAAAAAGTCACATGAAATCCTGGGAAATTTCTAGTATTTAAAAAGTCTAGAACAATGATAAAGGTTAGTTATGTTTTGGTGAAAATATGCTGGGGTTTTTTTGGTGAAAGTGTGCCAAATTTCAGTCCCAAGTGACATAATAGGGCCAAGGGATTTCAGCCTAATGTATATAAATTGGGACAGACAACCAACAAAGAGAATTTTAAATATTTTTTTTAAAAAAATCCGTTCAAGACATTCGTTCAAGCACTAGTGGTGAATGAACACGGGAAATGCAGGCCAGAAGTTCTCCACCATAACTGAAAGCTTCTCAGTGAAGCTTTATATGCTACTCGCACTCTGTTTTCTGCTAAACAGTGTGCTCTGTGACCTTTACGATGTTGCAGTTAAACACTAGAGGAAGCAACACACACAAAGCTTTCTCCCACTGTTACTTCTCTTGCCACAGAAATAGGAAGCCAAAGAAAGCATGACTGTAAGTCAGAATAACATCTCTGAAGAAGAGAGGACTCCTGAGTCCTATTGGAAAGAGCAGCTCCAAGTTTCTAAAATAAACCTAGTGCTGGTTTTAAGACAACATAAAATAATTGCAGGAAAACAGCCACCCAAGGTGTTACATCCAAGCCTGCAGGTACTGGGATTCTGGCATTTTACATAAGAACAGCCATACTGGGTCAGACCAATGGTCCATCTAGCCCAGTATCCTGCCTTCTGACAGTGGCCAATGCCAGGTGCTTCAGAGGGAATGAACAGAACAGGTAATCAAGTGATCCATCCCCTGTCGCCCATTCCCAGCTTCTGGCAAACAGAGGCTAGGGACACCATCCCTGCCCATCTTGGCTAATAGCCATTGATGGACCTATCCTCCATGAACTTGTCTAGTTCCTTTTGGAACCCTGTTATAGTCTTGGACTTCACAACATCCTCTGGCAATGAGTTCCACAGGTTGACTGTGCATTGTGTGAAAAAATATTTCCTTTTGTTTGTTTTTAAACTTGCTGCCTATTAATTTCATTTGGTGACCCCTAGTTCTTGTGTTATGATGAGTAAACAACACTTCCTTATTTACTTTCTCCACACCAGACCCTCTATCATATCCCCCCCTTGGTTGTCTCTTTTCCAAGCTGAAGAGTCCCAGTCTTATTAATCTCTCCTCACATGGAAGCTGTTCCAGGCCCCTTATCATTTTTGTTGCCCTTTTCTGAACCTTTTCCAATTCCAATATATCTTTTTTGAGATATGGTGACCACATCTGCATGCAGTATTCAAGATGCGGGTGTACCAAGGATTTATATAGAGGCAGTATGACATTTTCTGTCTTACTATCTATCCCTTTCCTAATGATTCCCAAAATTCTGTCCGCATTTTTGACGGCCGCTGCCCATTGAGTGGATTGTTTTCAGAGAACTCTCCACAATGACTCCGAGATCTCTTTCTTGAGTAGTAACAGCTAATTTAGACCTGATTGTTTTTTTTACGTATAGGTGGGATTAGAGTTTTCAATGCATTTATCAGCGTTGAATTTCATCTGCTAAGTTGTTGCCCAGTCACCCAATTTTGTGAGTTTACCAGCACAATGGGCAGACTGATTCAGCAGCAGCTACCTATCCTTTTGCAATTTTCAGTTTGTGTCACCGTAAAAAGAAATGCCTTTTAATAGTCGGAGGGTCGCTTTGGAATAAATCTTCTGACAAACAGCTGGAGAGAGATTCTCCCAAACGCCCTCTGATGTGAACTGGAGAGATTTTAATTTCTTTCTGTCTCGTGAAGCTACAGCAAAGGGAGAGGAAGCAAAGGGAAAGTCAAGGAAGAGGACAGATGCCTCCTTGGATACATGGCAGTTAAGTTCCATTAACACGTTTTAAAGTGCTGGACAAGCTTTTGAACAGGACCAAAAACAAACCGTGGAACGAGGTTTTAAGAAATTTGAAAGTAGCTCCCTCTACATGCATTTCTCTCTGGCACTTTTTTGTTTTGAGAGCGACTCTCCAACATTGTCAGTAAATCCTGGAGCTTTTGATCCTGGCCCTTGATCGTACTTTATAACAAAATGCAGTATCTTCCCAAAGTCTTTCTTATGGCAACATGTGGATCATTTCTTACATTTCAGGAACTACACCTGACTTTTTGATAACAAAACTTCGGAAACTATTTTCAAGAGAAGATCAAGAATGGGAGACATGACAAACTGCCGGTATGTTAAACCTCCAAAATCTACGTTAAAATTCTGAACCACCACCAATTCCCAGAGGTCAGAAAATTCTACGTTCAGGCTGGAACTTCAGCCTGAATTCACTCCGCTGTATGAAAGTATTGCAGAGGCCTCGCATCAGTGTGTGACGTTATAGGACACAGTAGATCTGCCGAAATACGCCGAGAGATATATGTACTGCAGAAACCTATGGTAAAAGAGGTTACTGGGCATGCGCTGTAGCTGATTTTCAAGTGCTAACTCGGTGATTTTATTCCTATTTTTAATATTAAGAGATCCCTAGTTTTCATTATGGTCTTTTTTTGAATGCTAAAAAAAAAAAAAAAAAAAGTGGCTAAAGCCAGGAAGTTACATTGAGTTTTGCAATCTGATAAATTACTTGTTTTAAAATTGCTCAAAAGGGGTAAAAATTGATTTCAGGCATCTTGTACATTGAGTTTCATTCTTGTGTGAATTTCTTTTTTGATCCGAGTTAGGAACGCCTGAAAAACGCCCACAGTCTTAGCGTTAGCTGTGCTAACAAGCGCTGCTATAATAAAAGAAAAGCATTCAGCAGGAAAAGGAAGCAGCCGCGTTCCTTCCTTTCAACAGGTCCTTTGACCAGCAGAGCCATACTCTACCTCAGAGCTGGACAGGTGGGAGTCGGAATTATCGAAGCCCCTGTGAGGGGTGCCAGCTTTACTGTTTACCAACCAGGGTTTGTCATAACAGCGAGAGAAGTGATGTGGAGTCTGTGAAATGGAAAATCCAAAGGAAGGGTAGGGAGAAAGGGGGGGGGAAAGAGGTGAAAAGTGAGTGAAAATGGAACAGAAAAGTATCCGAAATGGGAACAACAAACAGAAAATACATAAATTCCAAAAGAAACAGACGACAAAATAAAATGCACATTGGCACAATGTGGTGAAAAGGAGACACAAAAAGGCAGCCACTTCCTCCTTCATGCTAGCCGGCTGCTCGTGTGAGCAGTGATGTCCAAGATAAGTCTGCTCCTATCGCACAGAGAGATGGCAGGGGAAATGCGGACTGGTGGAAGATAGGAGAATCAGGAATGGTCCCAAGAGTTACAATGTGAGAACGTAAAAATAAAAACAACCTCAATCGGCAACTCAGCCTTTCCTGAGACGTGTTTACGTTCTCTCTACGAATGGTCACCTACCTGCAGGTGTAGTGTATACAAAGCGGGAAGAAACTTGTGGCATGAATGATTTAAATATATCGACTGTGCAGTCAATGGGTTTATCCCTGCCTCAAGTACCAGTTTTAAGCCAACTTCTGCCATTCAAGTGTCCACCAATGAAGCATACATTCGCCTATTTTCTGAGTCTCCCCGCAAAAACCTCTCCTACCTAATGCTTCAGCTCCTGGTCTCCTTGGAATGGGGTCTGAGTAGGCGTGAGCATCAGGAAAGCAAAGGAGTATCAGCCTTACCTTGGCTCCACTCGCAGGCGTTGCTGGAGAGGACGGCACGGACGCGCAGCTGTGATTACTCTGGCTTGCACTAGAGCTGGAGCGCGTTGGGGAGGCAGCCCGGGAGGAGGGTTTCGACCTTCGACCCCGTGACCTGAAAGGCGTCATTCCCTGCGAGGCTCCCTCTGGTAAAATAAACTTCTCTCTAAGTTCGAGGTTGGTCCTTCCTCGTGCTGAAAGAGGAAACAAAGCATCTCCTGAAAAAAACCACCCCTGAGGCATTTCACCCAAGTCCTGCTTAGCCCCAGGAGGACATCCCTCAGACATCCACGAGACTCCATCTCTGACCTACAATGGACGTCTTGCTCTCATCCTGGCCACAGCAGAGCGAGACCAGTGCAGCATTCTCGCTCCGTTGCGACGATGTAACTTCGCTGATTGGTTTTTGAAGACTTGTGATAGGCAAAAGAACCCTAGAGGTCCAGGAGTTCAGACAGAATTATGCAACTTTTATGCATGTCCTGGGCCTATTATACAAGTCTAGTTAAAATTAGCATGAGCAGCTGATGACATTCTTAGGACAGGTTAAAAATACTGAATAGAACAGCTCGGAAAGGTCGTACTCCTGCTCTCACACCCAGCGCATGACTATGTGGAGCGTGACCAATTTTCCAAGCCACAACTACTCATATCAGACGGCAAACGTAAAATTTGGATCTGAAAGTCCCAGGAACTGGAAGGTCTCTCTGCAACTAGCAATGGGGTAACAATGCAGTTGGAAGTTCTACGTCCTGAGATACTAAGAAGATCAGCCTAGGCCAGTATCTCAGAAACTCACCAGGTATATAGACAGCAAATTCATTAAAGTAAGTAGGAGCAAGGCCATGCGCAAAGCCTTACAGGACAAAGGAGCAATATTAGATTCAATGTGTTAGACTTGAAAGACAAAGAAGCCACTGCAGGGTAGAAGCCTTGTTCTGTGATAACCTAGGGATGGAAAGAACCCTGGCACCTGCACCCTAAAACACCCGTAGCAAAGCATTAACAGTAGAGACGAAGAAGCAGAGTTGCACTAGTAAATTCAAGAGCTTATAGAAAGCAAGCCGCACCGCTTCCGAATCATGCTGATTTCAGCAACAAGCCGCAGGTGACAGAAGCAAAGAATATTTAGCATGGGCTTCAAAAGATAATCAGAACCAATGAAAGTCTCAAAGACTGTGTTGAGATAAAGGGACGTATTGACTACTACCAAACCTAAGCTGTTTCACGTAAGGAAGAGACTGTAGTGAGTAAGGACTGTTAAACATTTCCTTTTTTCTTTCTTCCAGAGGGCTGGGTGCGGGGAAAGATGGTTTCCAGTCCCAGACCCCTCACACAGACACACAGTTTACTCTCCCTGGCAAAGAAGTCCTTGTGTTGCATTTGCTTTCCTTCCAGACAAAATGGGCTGGAAGCTTTTCTCCTCTGGAGTCCCTCAGCTCGGCAACATGCATCAGTCCCCGCTTCCCTTGGGAGAGGATTTCACATTCTAACAAGCCTTGTTCTTGGGAACCTGTTCTCGATACACACTCTCTATTCGCCTTTATATTTCTCCACTTGATTATGCCCTAAACAACCCTCCTCTCTGCTTGGTGCTTATATCTTCTAAGCAATGTACCTGCTTATTATGGCCCTTACTTAATCAAGATCTAGTTAAGCTATCTTATTTTGTTAATGCCTTTCCTCACAAGTCAATTCTTCCAGCCCTCTAATCATTTTTACTGCTCTTCTATGAACTCCTTCCGGTTGGCTGACATCTATCTAATACCGACATGCCCAGAACCACATGGAGTTATTACAGGTACGCTCCTCCGTGGTGTATAGTGGAACTAACACACCCTTCTTCCAAGATACAATGTACCGCAGCCAAAAATATCAGTGGCTTTTTTTTGCTGCCATAGATTTATATGTTACAAAGGCCAGAAGGAACCATTGTGATTGTCTCGTCCGACCTCCTGTACAACACAGGCCATAGGACTTCCCTGAACTGATTCCTGTTTGAACTAGAGCAGGTCTTTTAGAGAAACATCCAGTCTTGATTTAAACGTGGCCAGTGACGGAGAATCCATTGCAACCGTTGTTCCGATGGTTAATTACCCTCATTGTTAAACAAATGCAGGCTTGAATCCTAGTCTGAAATTACACACTCTCACTCAGTTGGGTGTGGCTCATTCCCCTTTCGGAGAATCCCAGCCGCTGAATGCTGGTTGCGGCCACGCTTCACCATGGGCCTCTCTCACTCCCTGTACCGAGCTCTCCGGCAGAGGGAAAATGGAGAAAACCGTTCAAGTCCCACTAGAAGCAGGAGTACTGTCTTTTTAATGAAGCGTTAGCGACATGTATCTCAACTGTTGCTCTGCATGCTGTGGTTTCCAGTGCTACCGTGCGGACGTTCATTGCCATTAGAGGTCCTTTGTGGCATTTGAAAGCCACAAGCAAGAAACACAGCAGAGATTCCTTTAGTACACATGGGGAATTCTCCAGCTTATGGCAAAGAACACTAAGAAGAATAATGTAATGTGCCAAGGCAAAAAACACACTGACAACAAAAAGGCCCAGGTTGACCTTACACAGACCTGGCTGTTCAGCTATGAAATACAGGGGAGTCAGATTTTTGTCTTGAGGGAACATCCTTTATCCCTTGTAAAATTCTTCCTACCTTGAGGCTGGATTTAACACAACATTTTCATTAACAAATCCATCATGTAAGATGGTCGGCACTGGACTGGGAGATTCAGAAGACCTGGGGTCTATTCCCAGCTCTGCCACTGACTTGCTGTGTGACCTTGGGCAAGTCACTTTTCCCCTGGGCCTCTATTTCCACCCCCCTCCCCTTTGTTTTGTCTATTTAGATTTGGAACAAGGACTGTATCCTTATGCACTTGCATAGGACCTCGCAGGTAGGCGTTTCTAAGCACTCTTGTAATACAAATTATTTTTTAAAAGGAAGATGTCCAGAAATGGTCTGAAGAAACCACTCTCTGCAATTCACCTCAAGACAGGTAGCATCTGGCCATAGTATATTGTACAGCACAATCACAAGCTGCTTCACTGTCTGCACAGAATAGGAATACATGAGGTACAAGGCGAGCTCCCAGGCTGTCTACACAAGCACATGAAAACTAAACCCAAGACAACCAAGTGTTTTCAAAACTCCCTGTGGAGTAGGTTTTTGAAACTCCAGCCTCATGTACCATCACCATAGTCTATTCTGACATCTAGAAACATCTAAAAAGGAATAATAGGAGCTGAAATACAGTATGACTGTGTCCAGGACTTGACGTGGGAACTTCTCTTATTTTATCAATAGAAATAAATATGTAAACTGAAGAATTGGGTTCATCTTATTCATTTCAAATGAAAGTCACACATCAAGCCCCAATGAACTCTCTCTGTATCAAGACGTCTGAGAAAGGGACCGACTGTGATTAACTCTGACCTTTTTCTACCACAGAAAAATACTGATCCAGGAGAATCTCACCGATGCAACATTTCAAAATCCAGAGAAAAATCACTGTCTCCAATTTTTCCATGCAGTACATGGTTCAGTTTTCCAGTCATAAAAATTGTTAAGCTTCCCTTGTTTATTTCCAAATGTTTCTGATTAAAAAAAATCAACTCTTTTCAGATAAACTGAAATAAGATCCCTGGGAGCTGAACTCAGTAAAAAAGGAAGGATGGTCCAGTGAGTAGGGTACTAGCTTTAGACATGGGAGAGCTGGGTTCAATTCTCAGTTCTGCCACAACTGCTCTGTGACACCTTGGTCAACTCAATTAATCCATCTGCCTCAGTTTCCCATCCATAATTGGGACTACTACTACAATACCTCACAAGGAAATATATTAAGATTGTGAGGTATTCAGATACTGCGGTAATGGAGGCCAGATAAGTACCTAAGATATAGAAAGCACAACGATCAATATGTCTAACTATGAATCTGAGTTTGAACAGACATATAGTGCGTGTGTTTTTTCCGGTTTCTGACATGCCACTCAATTTTTGGAGAGTCGATTTAGTTAAAACCTGTTTAAAAATGTCTCAACTAGAATATTCTTGATATTATCAACACTGTCTCAGCATCACAAAGGCAGCAGATGTGGTGGGGCAGGCGGGCTGGTTAAGAAGCAAAGCCATTCTTAATGATGGGAGAGGGGGGGTGCCGGCAAGAGTGATAAAGCAAAAGTAACGCCAACCTATCGGAGACTGACTGGCAATCGAAGAGCTGGAATCAGAGCGCTTTATTTTACTTCCAGGGTGGTGAACTAGAACAAAGAAAAACACACACATACAAGGAAACTGAGAGCAGGAGAAAGCAGAAACTGGTCAAGAAAGAAATGCACAGTTGAAGGACAGTTCTTTTTCACCCCATTCAGCGCTGCCATTTTGAGAGGCGGGGAAGGAAGAGTTCGCAACCGGACTCTTGCAGGAAATTTTTTAGGCATACACACACAGAGCTTCTGGAAACAGCACCATTGTCCCTAAAAACACAATGTGAGGGTTTTCTTTCTGGAGGGTGCAGCACATTAGAATCACATTTATCAGCAAGAGAGATTATATTCTTGTCTAGAGGCTTCTTACACCTGATTTTACCTACGTTTGTATGGAATTGGAATGGTTTTTATTAGATTTCTCTAACACACTGGTCATCTATCAGCACATTGGATTTGTAACAGTAACATTTACAGTGGAATCCACACTGACAACTGTTTGTTGTAAAAGATACACAAGTCCACGAAGGCAGGAGTTCTGCTGAATTCGGCACATGCCAGCAACCCAAAGGAAAACACACAGAAGACACCAGCTTTTGGCCATCGTCGAAGAGTGCAGACAACAAATCAAAATGAGGGGTTTAAACTACGAAAAAGAAATGGCCAGCAAATTTGTATGGAAAAAAAAGGATGTTAAAATAATTTTTAGTAAAAGAGATTTTCTTTTTATTCAGGGTAACTAATTTTAACTCCTTGATGCTCAAGGTTTGGATTTTCTGGAAGACCCTTTGCAAAGGGTTCATACTGCAATACTGCCATCCCCAGGTGCTCAAAAATTATGCAATTGGCTTAAAATCATGTGATTTTACACAAACAATACACAGAGTTTTTTTAATTTGCTTTCTGATTTTTGAACTTTCAGGTGCACTCAGATCACATTTTCAAGCTTTTCTCAGCAACCAGGAGGGCGACGAACTTGTTTGTTTCCTCTGAAATGAAAACTGAGATTCTCACCTATTCACATGACTCCAGAAGCTGGGGCTTTAAGAACATGACCAAATATTGAGAGACTTGCAATAAATAAGCTTGGGGTTTTTTTTAGTGCCTATTTTCTCCAGATCTTCCTTTATTTGCACAAGCCCACATATTGATGAGATCTGCTTTAATGAAGCATCTTGTGCTACCTGGCAACTTCACAACTATTGTGGAGATGAAAGGTCCCTGAGAAACAGGTTCTTTCTTACCTCTGCAAGGGTCATTTTTCACTAAAAATTCATCCAGGGCCATCCATCCTCCTCCAACTCGAACCATGACAGTGCTGCGCAAAATACGGACCAGTCGCAACTGCTGGGAATCACCGAACTGTGGAACCAACAGAGAAGCAGTTCAAGCAATAGGGCTATAAAATGGAGACACTGCTCCTCTCCAAAACAGACTGCGTCAGGGTTAGTAATATAACTGCACTGGGGACTATTTGAAGTGCTACCTGTAACCCTAAACATTTTCAAAGCTCTTATTAATGTTTAAGGCTTCTCCAAATATATCAAAAGGCTATATGTTATGTGGGAATCAATTCATTTTGGTGTCAATTTATGAGAATTTTTTCATCTAAAGAAACTCAGGATAATGCTACTAACAAGATTCTCTAGGGCTAATGCCAAAAAAAGAAAGCTGAGAAATTCAAATGCACGTCAAAGGATGGCCAGGTAGCAAATGAGAGTTTCTAAATTTGATGTTTTGAGGGTTTTACCCAAAGAAACAGAATTTTATTGCTCTGCCTTTCATTCCATGAATAATAATAATAATCGCACTTAGCTCTTATGTAGTGCTTTCATTAGTAGATCTCAAAGCACTTTACAAAGTGGGAGGTCATAGCACCATCGTCCCCATTTTACAGATGAGGACACTGAGGCACAGGGTGGGGAAGTGACTTGCCTCTGGTCATGTAGCAGGCCAGTGGCAGAGCCCAGAGTAGAGCCCAGCCACCGGAGTCCCGCTCCCAGTGCTCTATCCATTAGACCACACTGCCCACCGACACTCCTGACACAGTCCACTTTGAAAAGAGACATCTGACACGTCACTGAAGGCTGGCATAGCAAATGCTAGCAGTGCAGCATCAGCACTGTGAATGAAACCTCTTCACCAAGTCTGAGGTGTGAGCATTTCACCGAGCCTCAACCAGCCAGAGAACTCCCACAGGAGAGTCACCCAATGATAGTGAATCTAGAACGTAGAAATCTAAGGTTCGAGTCCCAGAATGCTTATTAGTGATTGTAATAAAAAGAAAAGGAGTACTAGTGGCACCTTAGAGACAAACCAACTTATTTGAGCATAAGCTTTTGTGAGCTACAGCTCACTTCATCGGATGCATCATCGGATGTACTCCTTTTCTTTTTGCGAATACAGACTAACACGGCTGCTACTCTGAAACCAGTGATTATAATGTTCATTAGGAATTTAAAATCTCCCCAATTTCAAACAATCATCAAGTGTGCCCCTGAATCAACAAAATCACACATCTCTTTCCAGTTCCCCCGTGCTACCGTTTATGAGACATTTTCATCCACCACCATGCACGTGCTTCTCTTCAGAGCCATCTTCTCCTAATATTTACATGGACATTCAGACATCTAGCAGAACCCCACCTGGACTACTGTGAACAGTACTGGTCCATGTACCATACAGGCTATCATAAAGAGCAGCAAAAATTCCACCCTGTCTTAGGAGCTGAAGCAATGAGGGAAAACGAAGGAGACTGGGTTGATTGCCTTTGAAAAGGGGGATACTTCAACATGATCTAATAGAGGATTTCAGAATTATGAAGGCATTGATAAATTAGACTCTCTTTTTAACATGGAGAAGGAATTAAAAAAACAGGAGACATAATGGAAACTTTAGGAAATGAGGAGTAACTAGGGGAAACTTGGGCAGAATTACTTCATGCAAATGATGCTAAACACTTACTGGGGAGGTAACTGAGGTAAAAAAAAATTACAGATGAGTTCAAGACACATCTAGATTGATTTCTGCAGAAAGAGAGTGCTAGGGGGTATTGGAACAAAGCAGGATTAAGGATTCCTTTTCCTGTTCCAAACATCTCACATGCCCCCTACTCTCCTGAGACTACAACTCTCCCCTGTTCTGCACAGCCCTTTCTCAAAGAGTTTCATGCATGAGCCTCTTTTCAGATTTCCCCTTTGCTCTCAGGCTTGGGACTGAGCTATGGGGATCTCTAGGGCTCTCTTTCAATCTGTAGCTGCAGGCTGTGTCTGTTCATGAAGGGATCCTGCTTCCATGCTCTCCCCAGCAAGTGGAGGCTGGAGTTTAGTTAGTTTTAGAGCAGTAGGATTCTCAGTTCTGCTCTCTGGAGAACCAATGAGCCACAGAATGGAAGATCTTTAGCGCTAAGCAGTCAGGAGCTGGAGTGCTGGAAAGGTAGGCTGTCTGGCTTCAGAGACAATGATTTTTGGTCTCAAAGTTTCTAGGCTAAATTCTCAGCCGCACCCAGTGTGTGATGGGCACACCTGGGGCAACACACCTCTCCTGGCGCAGCTGCTATGCCAACTAGCTATAGCCAGAAAGAGCTATTTATGCCTGCTGAGGCTCACTGGAGGACAAGGGCTCTCTGGCTATGCCCCTTTGCTGCACTGGTTCTATACTAACTGAGTAATTCCTCCATGCTAGGGGAATCCTCAGCTAGCTGGATACACTAATTTTGTAGCCCCTTCACTCCAACATAGCAGAGTGGAGAATCTGACCCTCCATGTTAAAAATACAAGTTACATAATTTGCTCCAGTCTTGTAACATTAATTAAAAATTTATTGTTAATAATCAGATACAGTTTTATAGTTCCCTTCAAAGATTTGTCTAGTCACCTAGCTAGAATAAATGGGGAAGTGGTTTCTATCCTTTCCTTCACTCAAGAAATTCACATTCCCTTATTTCATGGCACCACATTTAGAGTCCAGCTCTTCAAGTTAAAAATCCTCAGTAGTTAAAATAAATGGATTTCCTTCGTTGTTCAAACGGAGGCTGCATTTTTGTGATGAAACACATTACTCCAGTCCCTTTATCAATGGGGTTCCTGTGTTCTTGTCAGCCTTCAGTTACCATAATATTAATCACAGAACAGAATATAAGAGTAGGTACATGCAATTTTTCATGAACTTTCTTCCAGTTATGAGTTACTCAAAGTCGGTGAGGCAGGGGATGAGGGTTTAGTTATTGTTACCTAAGAGACTGATCATGTGAATGCAGCATTCTCATTCCATAGTGACTGCGTTATAGTCAAACCCATCCAGATCCTGGTATACAGTCTGTGTTCAGAAAATGTTAGCCTGGATAAATTTTGTGAAGAGTGTTACAATAGAATAATTAGTCCTGCCTTGAGTGCAGGGGACCGGACTAGATGACCTCTCAAGGTCCCTTCCAGTCCTATGATTCCTCTAGCGGTAGAGTTAGAAGCGTGAGACAATGTTCTTCTCTGACAATTCCACCATGAGCACTGGGACCTTACACGTTCCCTTTCACATGAATGATGCCATAACCTCTAATACCACTGGGGCATCAGAGGAAGAAGCAATTTGGAGGCTAAATCTCTCCATCTTTGTAGATTTCTGATTTTCCCATTAAACATTTTAATTCTTTCCTCCAAGGAGTTTTGCCATTTGGTATCGCATTTTCAGGTAAACATCACTCTGTATACCATACTCTGCCAAGTAACACAACCAACTCTAACACACCATTCTTTAGATCACATCTTCCCACAGCAACAAGAGAAAGATTGGTATTATAAACACACACCAAGCCATGTTTGTTAAAAGAATGAGAGACAGCATTGCAAGGCACACTGTACCTGATTGCCGAGGAAGAACTACGGAGAGAAAGAATTTGGGTGGGGAGAAGATCAGATGGAGAAAAGAGGAAGAGGGGGAGAAAAACAAGAAAACATTTTATAGGATTTAACAATGCAACAATCATGAAAATCTTAGTTAACTACAGGTAGTTAAAAATCAGGGTACTTGATGTTATTTGACATGCTAACTGTTCTTTTCTGTCCCTACAGCAGAAGTTGTAATTCATCGCTTCAAAATTCACAAATAAGGGCTCGTTTACACAACCGTGTGACAAAGCCACCCCCCTCCCCCACAAGAGACGTAAGTTACATCGACCTAAGCGCTGTCCACACTGGCGCTATGTCGGTGGGAGACACAGCTTCTGCCTCTCATGGAGGAGTAATTATGCTGATTGGAGAGTGCTCACCGATCAGCATAGTGCGTCTTCACCAGACGCGCGGGTGCAGCTGCGCCGATGTAGCGCGGTAGTGTAGACTTGCCCTAAGTCTGATATTTGAATGTGCACAAGTGTTGCTATTTTAACTCCTCCATGCCCAAAGCATGCAGGAAACCTGGATGGTTTGCTGCCGGTCCATCCCAGTGAATAATTTGAAATGAAAACATGAAGTACCTTAAAACAGATCCATTACACAAATATTTTGCATACCTTTTTAGAAATGAGCTACATGAAGTGAAGAAAACCATAGGTGTAAGGTACACACATAAAACTTTGAGGTAGTTATTGTCTATAGGTATCTACACATACAACATCCCCGCCAGTGAGTGGGCTAAGCTCTCTCAGAACACTGCCACATCTATGTTTGTCTTGTTCTTGTGCTATTAGGCACATCCAAGATTTAATGCACCAGGAAAGCATGCTGACCCTTAGCCTTCCCTCTTCTCAAAAAGTCACAGGAGAATCTCACAGACCATCTATCATCATCTGTCCATGTATATCCCCTCCATTACACGCTCATGTGATAGAGAAACCACTTGCAAGCTCCCCACCAATAGGATCATACAGTTATGACTACTATCAAGGAATCAGTGTGCTCCATTAAGGGCATATTGCTGCAGTTTCCCCAGAAAGTCTCATCTCTAGAGACCCTCAGATCAACTCGGGGAAGAAGGAACTAGTCTCTAAACTCTTCATGTTATTCCCTCATCACAGAGCCCAAGATAAGTCTATGTCTCAGGTTCCTGAGTGCACGTTATTGGTCTAATCTCTGGACTTAACATCTCAGAAGGCAAGAGGTTAGCATAGGTAAAAATTCTGATTTAATCTTTTAAAAAGTAAGATCTCAATACAGTACGACAGAATCAGGTTGCTTCAGTACAAGTTAAAATGGACACTTCTCCCTGGTAGGATCACACATGAGCTAGGAATTAGGAGAACTTGTGCTATTATGGCAAAGGTGGATGTCTTCCTCTTACCCGATACTTATTCTCTCCAATCTGCTCCACTTGAAACCTCTTTGCACACTTACACTGGGCCACCTGCCTTGTGACCTGTTGCAAACAAGAGGGGCAAAGGTCAGGGATCCGTAGTTTGCATCTCTTGTACTGGATACATGGGACACAACATATTGTGCACAAAATACAGATTATAACAACCTTCACTTTAAAATGTTTTGAATATCCAAATATTTGAACATTGATCTCAAGTCAGTACCACTGTGATTCTCTGGGTGCTCATCAAGGCACAAGTTTCCCCCTTTGGATAGGTATTTTGAGAAGTTGACACATTGAAAAACTGAAGCCCTACATAATGCCCACTAAAATACCACTCTCCTTAGAATCTCCTTTACCTCATCCTCAATTTTGTCGGCATCTGTGGTTGGCCGGTAAGCATCTTTGTTAGGATGGAGAGCAGCCACAAACTCATAGTAATCAATATAGCCATCCCCATCCCGGTCAAAGATGTCAGCCACAGCAGTCATCTCTAACTTAGTGGTGGGGAATTCTGGAATGAAGAAGAAAAACAAATAACAAAGATGTATTACAGTCTGAGAATACATAACTCCTTGTATCCTCTCACCATCTGTGCAAAGAGCATATACTCTATATCCCCCCACCCACCCACCCACCCACGCTTCCATACCTGGAGTCTCCACCACAATAGTCACAGGAAAGGAAACAGGCTACATGACTACTTGAGTTTCAAAGCATCCGATGAAGTGAGCTGTAGCTCACGAAAGCTCATGCTCTAATAAATTGGTTAGTCTCTAAGGTGCCACAAGTCCTCCTTTTCTTTTTGCAGATACAGACTAACATGGCTGCTACTCTGAAAAGTATAATATAGATTCCAGGCCTCAAGCAATGACAGCCTCTTGGCATATCGCTACAATAGCAAACATGTGGGGTGGGATTGCCAAGCTATCATTTCACAGCTGTCCTCTCCTGACAGAGGAGCAAGAAACGTGCCTTGCATTTGCCTCGTAAAGGGTGGGAGCAAACAAAGTTTCTCGGAGATGGGTTTATCGGGTTTTGCGGAAGGATGGGATGAAACAGATCGAGACTTACTAGATGCTAAGATTCCATCAATAAACTCCTGCCGGGTGATTTTTCCATCCTGATCTTTGTCAATACGCCGGAAGAAGTCCATCACCCGTGATTTCTTGTGGTTCATCCAGCGCATGTATTTCTTTCTCCAGATGTCAAAATCAAAGTTTGCAAACTCCTTCAACTGGAAGAAGACCAATTAGAGTCAATGGGAGTTGAAAGTACAGACAGAAAACATCCCCTGCTCTACAGAAGATCTTGCTGAGCTAAGATTTCAACGACTAAGTCAAACTGTGCATAGCCTTTGGGGGCTGGCTGTCACTTTCTCAATATTCTACACCTCTTCAAAGCAATTCTTGGAAACAGAGGCATAATTAGGCCACTCCTCTTAAAACCATAGCCATGGGCACAGTTTCCATAACAAAACACGGCACACAATGCATCAGACAGCCACCATGTCGAATACGTGTCACACACTCATAGACACAGAAAAAAGTGAAGTATCCTCCAAACTTTTAAACATACATGTATGCCGATATAACAGATTTACACACATACACACAGACGCATACAAAAATAGCATCTTTGCAGGCGTCTAAGAACACGGTTCTCTCCCCAGACTTGTCCTAAGGATGCCCTAGTTCCTTTATTTTTGAAACTCCAATTCCTTTCCCACTCTACACATCTGCATTGTTCTCTCTCGCTTTTCGCCTAAGCAGCTGAGAACAGAGCTTCCTGCTTGGTTTTTTTGCAGGAAGGACAGCAGTTTCTCCTCTGAGATGGATAGCAATGTTGCTCCATGGATAAACTAACAAGTAATGCTTATTCAGCCGTCAGCCTGCCTTCCCCCCACACCAACTTGACTCTTGACACGACACCTCTGCGGACCTGGGCAGCAAGACCCCAAAATGCTTCCAAATTCAGTTCTCTGGAACTGCAGTGCCAAGACTATACCAATGGCCAAGACTAGCTTAAATCACTGCTCATGAGAAGACTGTTCAGTTAGTGAAGCACATTTAGGACGGATTTTCAGGAGCCCTTCAGCTAAGAAGAGCTCAGGGTGACTCAAAACAACGACATCTTAGTGATTTTAAAAAAGCCCCCGAGTTAAAAGTCACAAAGAAAAACGTTCATACGGATAAACCAAACTGACCTACAGAAAAAGCAACAAAAAACAAACACACTCACTTCTGGGCATAGCTGCTTTGTTAAGCATAAACGAAAACAAAAATTACATTAGAGGTTTTGAAAAAAAATATACATCATAGCACTATATTTGCCAGACTATTATTATTGCTTCCAACCAGGTCTGACTTTCGTTAGCAGCAGAACTGACTTTAGTAGCGCAGAGCAGTCAGGTTAACCTGCAGTTACTACGGAATATGGTTTTCAGCCGCACTATTTTAGTGGAGACTTTTCTGTTTGGCATTTTTAGGACTAGGGCAGTCAGAGCCCATGACATGCCCAACGCCGTTCAAGAGGCAGTTCTCCGCCCTTCTCTCTTGGGAGTACAGTAAACGACTCTTTTCCACCACAGACTACCCCTGGTGTACCAGCATCTGGGGGTCATTACCTCCTCCAGCCTATCGAGAGCGTCATTGAGCTTCCGCTGGCGTTCCAGTGCCAGCAGCCACACCTGCTGCCAGCGTGCGGAGAGCTGGTTAATCCGGGGGTTCTTCGTTTCCGACTGGGAGAGAACTGGCATGGGAGGAGGGGCAGGGTGACTCAAGGATTTCCCTAGAGAAAGAAAAATATGCCACATGGGATATTGCAGGATGGGGGGTTTGGATGATCCAAGAAAAAAAAAAAGACAACAGCTTTGTTTGTTTCTCAAATAGAAAATCTCTCACAGGCTTTCCCATAAGGACTGAGCTGGCAGCTTTTAAAAAAAGAAAAGATGAGGTTAAGAACGTTCAGCACAACCGTCCTGGTGGTATTGCAGTTTTACAGACACCATTAATCTGTGGTCCCCACCCCCACCAACTCCTGTCTTCCTTGTCCCTTTGGTTTCATCTTCCTGAACTCGCGCCAATAGGACTTTCTGCTGCAAGAATCAGACATGAGGAAACGGTCATGCGAGAGAAACTAGAACGGTAACCGGACCACTTAAATACAGCACAAACTTTTCAGTACGCTTAAAATAGCAAAATCTCTGTAAACTCAAATCAGAGCCATCAGGAGTCTTCGGATGGCAGAAAGGCAAAGAATAATAAAGCTCCTGGCATATGTCAGCCACTATTGCAAATGCCACCTCATTTCCCCCTTCTCATTCCCTGGCAATTCCCAGCCAATTTCAAGTGGTTGGCAAAGCAGGGTGTATTTCTAATTGAGAATTAGAGCCAGACTAATTAGTTTCCTGTGTGTTTTTCCCTCTCTCTCAGAATGCATTCCTGTAGAGGATGCACAGAGCAAGAACCTGCAAACATACTGTTGCTGCGGGATTTCTCAATGAAAGGTCCGTGAGCTGGTTCTGTGGCTTTCCTCTTGTACGTCTTAGTGACCCGGTCCACGTCCGGCTGTTTTTGTGTCATCTCCTCCATAAAGGACTGTTAAAGGCAAAAGGGAGAAGAGAACTGTAACATTTATCATCTTCTCAACTTCAGGCTGCTGCTGCTCTAGATTCTTGCTGAGAAACTCCAAGCCCGTAGCAGACACACAAGTACATACTGAATACTAGCTATGTGGCTTTGCGGTAAAACTATTCCACAGTTGTGGCTTTCATTTCCAGTCCTGATATTTTCCTCCCTGGGCTGAGTGGAACACAGGTCCTAGACTTGTTTAAAAGTGACAGGTCTGGATGACTAACATGTGGCTGTAATAAGATCATAAAAGTAAACTCTTCTTCTTCCCCAAAGGTGGTTGTTACAAAAAGTTCGGCCTCCCTGCTGCCTGTCAGACTCTCAATCCCTGCCCCAGAAGCAGGGTAGACAGGAAGTTAACAGATCTCAGCAATGGAGTTACCTGGTGTTCAAAGATGAGGGCTTTGACCTGATCGATATTTTGTGGCATTGGTTCTTGATCCCGCTGGATCAGCGTGGTCTCAGCCCACTGAATCCACGCCAAGAGTTCCTCCAAGAGCTCCGCGTTAGCCACCAAGTCTGAAAGCGCAGTCTCGAGCCTCTGCTGGTGCTGCTTTGCCCAGGTCAGAACCTGATGGAAACATCCACAAGGCTAGCCGTCAGCATGGGAAACAAAGGCACTTACTCTGTGACGTTTTCCCTCAGGAGAAGGGAAACAAGACCCATAAGGAAAACAAGGCAGCCACCACTCTTGCTGGTTCACTGGCTGATGCACATTGACTTGTGAGAACGGATCCAAGTGGACAGGACTAGGACATCTATAGTTCAGGAGAGTGACCCATTTACATGTCCTGCTGCTTCATAGGTTCCAAGGAAGGAAGGTTCCACTGTGATCATCTTGTCCGACCGCCTGCATAATACAGGCTGGAGAACTTCCCCACAAAGAAAAGTCCAAAAGAAGAGATTGATCACTGATTCTATTACTGGCCCTATTTCCCGGCAGTGACGAGAAAGACCTTCCCTCTGCTCAAGTAGACCGGGTCCTCTGTGACTCACCTCCTCAAACCTGGCTCGGATGATGGTGATCCAGTGTTTAATTGTGGTAATGCAGTCTGGGTGGCATGCAGCTAGGATAACTTCTCCCATCCCCACCGCCGCGTTCACATCCACTCTCTTTTCCTCCACTTTCTTCATGAACTCCTAGACAGCAGGATTGCACAGAAACAACAACGGTTGTCATACCAACAGAGACAATCTGGTCCCTTTAACCTGACCCTAAAATCCCCTCATTTAAACTCAAAAATAAAGTGACTTGCGAGTTTTGGATTAAAGTTATTTTCATTCTAGGTTTATAGTGCACAAGTAATTTTCCCTACCCACCAGTGCCTGGTATTACAACTCCAGCCCAACTCAGGCCATGTAGCTATTTAACAAGATCTAAATCTCTTGTTTGGAAAAATCTCTTGCCCAAGCGTCTCACTCCTGCTGCCTAACAGTGAGACGTTAGTTACTGCCCTTTGTTCCTGGCACACATCTTCTCACGAAGGGCCGCTCTGGATATGTCAGCACAGCAGTGTAAGCCCAGGGTTTGAACTCAGGCTCAAGCCTAACCCCCATTCCGGTGACACACAAACTGCACTAACCCAGAGCTTGGACCCAGGACCCAAGGGGGACGGGGAGTCCAAGCCTGAGTCAAGCTGGGACCCAGGGTTTAAGCCATATTGCCCTGCAACACAGGCGTAGCCCCCACTGGACTCGTGATCTGGGAGTCTGCTTAAAATATCCCCCAAGCCCGCGGACCGACTTTCTTTGTCCTCTGGACAGTCAAGTTTTCCCACGCTGCACCACAAACAGAGGCTAGAGCAGACACACCTTTGGGAAGTCTGGGACATGGGGGGGGGGTTGGACTTGGGCCTGCATAATATTGGAGCCCCAGAAAGGGACCCAGGTTCAACAGTTCCTAACCTGGGGTTACAAATGAGTGTAGAAGACCAAGCCCTAAGCTAACAAAGGCAGGGTCTGCGAACTCGAAGTTCTGCTAACCCTGGCCTTGCACTGCAGTGTAGATACACCTGCTCAATCCATGTTTTCTCACATTCCTGAGTGACTGGTTACCTTGTGTATGTCAATGAGTGAGTGCAGCGCTTCAGCATCATCAGGCAGAGCTCCCCTAAAGCGCAGGGTCTGTTCTGCCTCGGAAAGCCACTCCAACAGCATGTGGACTGCAGTCCGGAATTCCTCTGCCTGAAACGGCACCAAGAGACAGATGCAATGAGTGACTCCTAGGGTCTCTGCCCGGCCTGAGTCTCTACCCACCACTCAAGAAGCAAGGCACAGCAGGGTCTCTAATAGGAACAGAGGCAATAAAAGACCAGACTGTCTTTGCTCTGTGTTTGTACAGCGCCTAGCACGATGAGATCCTGCTGCATGCCTGGGGCGTGTAGGTGCTGCAGTGACACAAATCAACAAAACAACTGAGTTGGTCAAGTAGCCTGTCCCCTTCCCTTTGAGTTCGCTGCACTGAAAAAGGGAACAAACTCCCTTTTAAAACCATTTGTGTACTCTGCTCAGTTTACCTTTGGTCATTTATTCCATATACTAACTACTATGTATCAAAATACCACCTTGGCATCTTTTATCCTTCCTAGGCTTACGTTTAGTCCACCCTCTCGTATTGTTCATATAGCTCTGAATAGTTTATCACCATTCCCTTCTGATTTGCCAAAACTGCATATCAACACGGCTCTCTCTTGAGATGGTAGGGATGTATTATCCCAATTTCACAAAAGCAGAACTGAGACAGAGATTAAGTGATTTGCTACAGGCCACACAGGGTGTCTGGCAGAACTGGGAATTGTATCTAGATCTCCTGAGCCTTCGTCCAGGATCGTAACCACAGTGGGGCAGAGAGCGCGTCCCATAACATTTCCCCCCCAAGAAGATGGCAAATGCTTGTAAAGAGCTCCAGAACACAAATTTCTGGTTCATTTCTAGACAAGACTCACCCTTTAATTTGTACAGGTTCAGAGCTACATATAAAAGCCTGAAAGTGAAAGCGAACTTGGAAGCCTCTTTCTCCTTACCTGCTTCAAGGCCTGCTCCAGCCGGGTTTGTTTGGACACCGACAGCTTGCACACCGTGTCCCAACGATTGCTCAACTCTTGAAGCTGCCCTTTAACCCAGGTAGTGTCATCCCGGCTGCTCTCGATGAGCTCTCGGCCTGAGCGTTTGAGCACCTGCACGGTGCCCGTCCGCTTCCCCAGTTCCTTCTGGAAAACCTACGAAGGGAGAAGAGAAAGGTCCATCACGGGTCTTCGTGCTGTGGGTTTTACTCTTGTTCTCTAGAGAAGAGGGGCAGCATAGGCTTGAAGTGTTTCAAGTCTGACAATAGGGGGTATATAAAGTTGAACTGGTGGTTTGCTTTCTTCCACCAAACCCCATTTGAAATGCTTCAGTTTCGGCATTTTTCCGCTAGTATAATTTATTTTCCTTGACACAGAATTGGTTATATGTAGGTACACATTATAACCCACTGGTGAGCGTACGTTACAGATCCGCTCACAGTCAGGTTACACACGCACCAGTGGGTTACACTATAACACAGTCACACCATCAGCAGTACATCACACAAAGCTGGAGACAGCTGAGCTTGTTTTATTGAGACTGTCCACCTGGATACCAAAGTGGATATCCTGGATATCCTCTACTCTTTCTGAGAGCAGTATAGGAATCTTTAACTTGCATCTGGGCACCATCAGAGCATTGCAGAAGGAATCCTGGTTTAATCTCTCGCCCGAAGGATGGCATGTTTAATAGGACACCACCATTCATGCCAATGCAGTGGCTGTTTGGAACAGGAGCCCAAGTTCTAGCCTGGGATTTGAACCTCTGACCTAACCCAGAAGTGAAAGCACTTACATCTGAGACCTCCTGATGAATACTGCCGAAGTGGAGTTTACAGAAGGATAAAAACTTTACCCCCTCTCTCCCACTCCAAAAACAGAGAGATCTTTCTGATAAAAGCCAAGGTGGAACAAAGCAGAACTGAAGGTTTATGTGATAATTCCAAAATAGTGATACCATCTTTCAAATCAGTCTCCCAGGCATTTACTCAATGGAAATCAACCTGCACAGCAGGATATGCAGCTCAACAGCACACATCTTGCCAAGATGCTATAAGCCTGGTACGTCTGTTATGCAGTGGATGGGGAACTAAAGTTACTTTTGCTTCCCAAAGGGCAACTGGTAAACCCCCCACTCTTACCTTATGAGCATCCATCAAGTTCATGACCAGATCCAGATCACCATGGACTGGTTGGTCTTCAGCCAACTGGGGCTCCACCTTGTACAGCCAGTCCACCAAGGCCTGAAGCGCATCCATGAATTGACCAGAGAACAGCAGGGCTTCTTCCAGCTTGTGCTGCCTGCAAAGAGAGCATCAAAGGATATTTGAACAAACTTTCCGTCCAGAATATCAACGCTGCTTGCAGTTCAATTGGAAAGTGTTTCTTTTTCCACCCATCTTTCTGATGCTATCATCATCATGACAAATCCCCAAAAGACATAGCCTCCTTGCAGATTGAGCATTACCCGGATCGATCTCCTTACGGAAGTCTGGCTGGACATTCAGTTTACATTTCTGATGCCATGCTTGGCATCATCTCTGCTCTGTGATCTACGTCCATATTCTCAACAGCACATTTACAGTGTGTGATATAAATCAAGCTCACAGGGTCATCCCATCTCCGGTCCTTCACTGTTGCAACAGTATTCTGCAACAAATGTTCCTCTCACCTTTCCACAGATTTGCCGCAGACTGTGTCCCACTTGTCCCGGACTTCTCCAAGGAGGTTGTCCAGTTTCTGAGTGTCATCTGGCAACACGGCTTTTTCTTTGAGGGCTCTGCCAGTCCGGATCGTGGTGTCGTAAACAGGCTGTTTTCCACCAAGGGTCTTTTGGAACTCCTGAATTTTACAACCAGAGAAGAGCACAAAGGAAATGTCTTTAGAATGCATAAAAACTTGTGAGTGAATAGCTTAGTGGGATAAATGCCTCTCTCATACAACTTTGTAACTATACTATTGTAACGTTAAACTAATGCGTGGAGTATGCCGTTCCTCTGATTGGATCATCTCTTCCCTCTGATTTTAGAAAAATGACTGTGTTGCACTGCTTTGACTGGAAGCAGGTTTCTCTTCCTTTCCAACTAACCCACACTTGAGGGCATTAATCACAGCTGGAATGAAAACAAACCCTCTACCTTGTGCTTGGAGAGCTGCAATTTGATTTTGTCTGGATCGTTGGAAATCTCCAGCTCAGAGTCCAGGTGATTCTCTGCATCTTCCAGCCAATCAACCAGCTTTTTCCAAGCTTCGTGGAACTGAAATTGCACAAAAGGTGAGAGCAGTTAGAGCTTGGTGTTTGTGTCTTCCAGGCCTTCTGAAGGCTTGAGACACTTGGATTCTGAAAGCTAGAGAATAAGCAATATCGCCCGGTGCTCTACAACCATTTTCACATCCCTCACCTGTTTAGCCCGTTTCCTTGCATCATCAAGAGCTCGGCCTCTATCCACAGAACGCTGGACTACTTTCTCCCAGCGGGACTGGACACTGACCAGAAGGTTCTTTATCAAAACTACATCTTGCTTTTGACTGAGGAACTTCAGCTTGTTCCCTGTTTGATCCAGCTCAATGATCTGGTCCCGGTGAGCATTGACTTCATTGGCAAAAACCTAGAGTAACGAAGATTTACTCTCATTTAAAGAAAAAGCATGGAAATGTCTCCTAGTTTCTTCCAGACACAGAAAGCACTGAGCATGGCTTACAACAAACTTTTCCTTTGTAAAACAGAATCAGAGTGTTACCTTGTGTTCATCTATCTGAGACAGCACGGTATTTAGGATAAGGCTGGGTGGAGGTGCAATGTTTAAACTCTGCTCTGCGAGGGTCAGCCAGTTAATGAAGTCCTGTAGGGAATTCTGGAACTCTGTTGCCTGGTTGAGAGCGTCTTCCAGCTTCGACTGCATTTTAATAAGGGTGGCAGGGGGAGAGAAAACGCAAGAGAGCACCAAGTTCACAATGTGAGGCTTTGCAGACAAAGACATGTATTGTAAGCTAAGATGAAATGAGCTCTCTAATGGGAACTCATCAATTCAGTCAAAGAACATGACTTGTTTACCAAGAAGAGGAGATTTCAGTGAAAGTGGCTGTTTCAGAATCAGTTTCTTCTGAAACAAATGGACAGGAATTGTACATGAAAGAGGAGACTGCTCAATAATCACCATCAGAGCTTCCTAGGAAACAAGCCTCCCTGAGACAAGCTGCTCTGCGGCAGGGAGACGACACTTCAGTGGGGACAGCTGCAGAACCAGAAATTCAGCCCGGGTAGAGGCCAGCTTCTCTGATTTCATGAGAGAACTTATTGCTGACCAAAGTACCAGCGCAACGGAGTTCGGTCAGCAGAGAATTTGGCCTGCTGTCTCTTAAGAAGCAGCAGTGTCTCTTTGCTTTTCAGAACTGGATAATGCTCTTCATACCTTCTTTTATTTCTTGTGTAACAGCCTCTCTCTTATGTTCACTCACATTTAATTTTACTTTAATTTTCTCTCTAAGATTTACCCTGCTCTGGTAACTAGCTGTACAGTTAACACTTTGATGTCAGACATCACTGATAACACCTATGTCAGAAGGCATGCTAAGCAGATGTAAACAGGAGAGAAATTATCTAAAAGAACTGATCTAAAAGCACTGATCTTGGATGTCTGAAGCACATGGCTGATTCTGCATATTGCAATCGACCTGCGTTCTGGAGAGAGCATTACCGCAGCAGGGAGCTAATGGCATTTTACTTTCAAGCCATGTCTTTCGTAGTAAACAGGGATCATATTTTAGCTCAACACATTACCTTCCTCTCCTCCATTTTGTTGCTGACCAGGTTCCATTTCTGTTCCAACAGAGTGACACTCTGCTCCGTCTTTGAGCCAGAGCCAGAGTCATCGCGGCTTAGCAGGATCAATCGCCCCTTGGCCAGCAGCTGACTGTAGACCTCTTCGTTGGCTTTGAATTGGGCATACAGCTCCTACACCAAACCACCATCAAAATATTAGAGACAGAGAGACTGTATCGGGAATTTGCAGTTCACTAGACTCCATGTTTGTGGAGACACTGGGGTTAGGACTGACAGCAAACTGACAGTGAGATATTTATCATCATGCTATCAGTAGAGATAAGCAGTTCATTCATTAAGATAGTGGCAAATTCTGTCCACAGCCATCATCTGCAAACCTAATGTCCCCTGTAGCCTTGGCGAGAGAGAAGTGGCAAAAGAAACACTCATCCCATTCCCCATTAGACTTACACCATGCGGCACAGACATATTTCCGTGCTGACATTTCAGAGAGAAGTTAGTTGAATTAGAGGCATTTGAAATCTTTACCATATGGGCATTGAGTTGTTCACGGGCAGTTTCTGGCAAACCTCCTGTGGGTTTTGATGCAGACAGTTGGCTCTCCATTCTTGCTAGCCAGAGGAGGAAGTCTTCAATCTCCCCATGGAAACCCTGGGCCTGTTAAGGAACACAAAATCAGCCAGGGATCAGATGACAGCAGCAACCATTGCCTGGCTTTCAGGTTTAACACTGGGGTTCCTGACACGGTGGATAAGGAGGCAGAGAAGAGTTTTACAAAGACACTAAAAAGAGGGGGTGTATTGTCATTTATTTATTAATTTATTTATTTATTAACAATATACCCATTTCAGCAAGTTCACACACACACAGTTGACTTCTCAAAGAGAAAAGGCTCGTCCTAAAGAGCAGGACTTCCCCTCGGAACAAGGGCATCTCTGGTTTGGAAAGAAGTAACTTGCTATTTACAGACCGTTTGTGCCTCCCGTCTATGGCCTGGTCTTCACGGCTGAAAAAGGTGTACTTCTTACCGGGATGGAGGTGGCGTAACTAATGTGTGAGAGTTCTCCCCAGATCAAAAGACAGTGAAGACAGGGTATTTTATAGTTTCATCATGAGGTAAACGAGGCGAGGTTAATCTCAGGTGGGGACATAGTGCTGTCCTCACCTAGTTTACCTCAAGGTAAAACTAAAGAGCCCTGTCATCTTACGACAGCTCACACAAGTCACTTACCCTGAGGTAGCAATACCTTTCCCAGCAGTGAAGACAACACTATACATCACCTCCTCTACCCTTCACCCGGGAAAGAGAGATGCCAAGCCAGCACTAGACACCCTCTGCAGATCTCTTCTGCAAGCACAAACGTTTCTGTCTCCAGAACAAGCTCACTGACCTGCTGAAGCGTTGACTGCAGCTGCTGCTCCCTCTCCTCCGTTTTCTGCAGGACAGACTCCCAGCACGAATTCAATTTCTCCAGGCGGTTCCGCAGGCTGTTTGCATCGTCTCCCGCACTGGATTCCAGGAGCTCATTGCCGGCTTTATTTACTGTCTCCACAGTTGCTTGGTGAGCCAACACATCGTTCTTCAGCACCTGCACAGGGTGGATTGGGTCACGTTACACATTTGCCTCTACAATGTTTTGTTAACTCCAACCCTATCCCAAGGAAACAAATCAATGCAAATAACTTCCAGGGAGCCATTGTCCCCTTTAAGGCCAGACAAAAAGGCAGAACACAGAGTACGTACATGGTGTTTGGCAAGTTCTACTTCAATGACCCTTGGGTCGCCATTGATTGGTCTTTGTGCATCTAACAACTCTTCTGTATGGGTCAGCCAGGCCATCAGTTCTGCTAACGCATGCTGGAACTGACCAAGTGCCAGCAGAGCAGTTTCTAACTTGTGCTGTTCAAAGGTAGCAAAGAAAAACGTTAATCAGGAGGGAGCAGGAAGAGGAGGAGGATGCTGACGACTTACAGGTTTATTTTCAGCCCTGGGTTTTGGCAGCTCTCCTTCACCATACCTGTCTGTGAGCAATCTTCTCGCCCAAGTTCTCCCAGAGATGTTTCAGCTCTGTCAGCGGTTCCCTGATGATGTCTCTGTCTGTCTCATCCGTCGCTTTTTTTAGCATCAGTTCGCCTTGGTGATTAAGCTTCTCCATTTCAATCTGCTGCTGGTAAACCTCCATTTTAAACTCCTGCCAAAGCGTGGAGGGGGAAACAACAAAAAAACCACAAACAAACTGCAGAACTCTGCCTCCAACACAGAACAAGCCCTGAAGAACCGTGTCTAATGTAGCACGCTTACCTTCATCTCATTCAGCTGCTCCTTAACAGTGTTGAGGTCAGTGCCGACCGGTGGCATGTTGCACAGCTTAATCACGGTGTTATCCAGCCAATCAAACATTGCCTAAGAGGAACACATACATAACTAGGAAAACCAGACCTCCATGATCATTGGACAAGGAAAGCACACCCACTCCACAGGCCATCAGCAGAGCTTGGGGGCAGACTGTGCCATCCTTGGACCAATCAACAGAACTTCTCTTTCCAGGCAAACAGATGGGTAGTTTTCATGCACACTGCTTAGTGATCTCCTTCCTTCCACAGACCGCAGCATAAGCAGCAGACTAGGATCAGGCCCATTTCCTCCATCCCTTGCCGCCCCCACCCCAAAGAGGGGTGTATTTGAGAGGGTGAACGCAGGCTGGGTCAATTTCAAATTGTCACCAGAGAAGCAGAAGAAATGCTGATTGAATGGACTGCATTCAGTGGGTCATTGTACCCAGGGCCTACCTTAGATTGTCAGCTCTTTGGGGGCAGTGACTATCTTTTTGTTCTCTGCTCATGCAGCGCCAAGCACAATGGGCTGCTGGTCCACACAATACAAGTAACTACCGACAGCTGCCTCACCTGTAGCGTATCCTGATACTGCACAGCAGACTGCATAGCGTCCTCGAGTTTCTCTAGCCTCTCCTTCCAGGTTTTGCTTAGGTTTTCCCATGCATTGTTCATCTGCAAAACACAGGATTGCCCCCAAATTCAGTAGACAATTCCATCTGAACCAACACTGCCCTTCACATGGCTTGTACCCCACCTCTGAGCTGCTGGTTTTCCTACCTCGTCAATGCTTTTCTTCACTTCTGGTTTCTCAGTTTCACCACAGGCCATAATTAATTCAGCTCCAAGCACACGAATAAACTCCAGTTCTTCATGCACGCCATCAGTTTCCTCTTTGATAGTCTAAATTCAGAGAGGGTGATAAATTAAAAAATAGGCTTGTTTAGTAAATGCTATTCCAAAACTCCATTTGACGGTGCATGCAGTGGGAGTTAGAGTATGGAGATTACACTGGCTAGCTAACGTTTTGCATTCTGGTTGAAGACTGAGATCAATGAGCCCTCAACCCAACAGGCGAGCATCACATTAAGAAGCAGGTATGTGTTTTCAGGTAACTGAGTCCAATCCACACTTCTTCCATTGTCTGATGCATGGGATGCCATCACCATTTGCAAGCAGATGGGAATAACAAGGTAAAAACCGCATCTGCATTTGTCTGAACTGGAAAGACGGTGACCCCCATCTGCAAGTTATAGAGTTTTCAGAGAGTTTTACGAAACCAGGAATTAAACGGGTTGTCAGAGAGCCAGTATGTCTAAACCAAAGTCAGACTAGTTATAAAATGGGAGTGGCACATACAAGTAAACCGGGGTGAGATGTATACATATTAAAAAAAAAACCCTGAGTCAAACTAAAGTCAACTATGCAAACATCCAAAGCGGACTCTACCACATGATTTCAAATAGAGATGAGTGTTGCTGTCCATCCACTATTATCGTTTTATTCTACAGTAGCCTTAGGTCTAACTGGAATGTAATCTGCATCTCACAATCTGGACAGATCCAGCCCACATTGGGAGCAGAACCATGGTAACAATTATGCTCTAAACAGGGCAGCGGACAGCTCTGAACACTTGCTTGACAAGCGTTTCCCCAGCGTAGTTACAGCTAAGATGATTTTAGCACCGTTTCAGGCTCTGGTACAGGCTGTTGTTTTTTCCACTTGAAATGAAACAATATCCTGAAATTCCGCACCCCCAAACCACGGCTCTCCCATGGTTTCTAAATAAAATGAGAGCATGATTTGTAACCATGTTGGGTGCTCACAAAACTGGGGTACAACAACATTTGGCTGTATCTGCTTTGAGACCCAAACGTGGTTACAAGCTGTAGCACAGACAGGGCCAATGTGGAATGACATGTCCACAGTCCTTACCTCTGCGGCCTCCACCTGCTGCTTGATGATTGATGGGTCAATGCCTGGGCTCTCCAGGTCGTGAACAATATCCTGTGTCTCTTTGACAGTAGTCAGGAGGGTTGCCATTTCGTACCAGAATTTCTCTGCCAGCTCCAGGACATCAAGGAACTTACTTTCACGTCCCTCTGCCTGAGCCTTGATGTCTTCCCAGAAAAACACCATCTGATTCAGCTTATCCTGGATTTCTGGAGGGGGAGGGAGAAAAAACAAAACAAGTCAGGACTCTTTATTCTTCACCTGTTCTGACCCGCAATCTCCAGTTACTAATCAAAGCATCTGCATACAAACGTGATGATGAGAAAGGTTTACAAGTTTGTCTACACAGCAAAAAAAAAAACCCTTCCACAACCTGCAGCACTGAGTCTCAGAGCCCAGATCTGCAGACTCAGGCTTTGGACGATGGGGACACTCACAGCCGTGGAGATTTGCAGGCTCAGGCTGGCCAAAGACGGGGGTGGGTTTCAGAGCCTGAGCGCCAGCCGAACCCCCAGCGTTTGCAGGGCTATATTTAGCACCGTAGCTTGAGCCTGAACCTGAAGACCTGGTCTCCAAGACTCGTGCCGCGGGGGCCTTTTTGCCATGTAAACTTAACCTGAGGGAACCTTCAAATAAGAACTGAAGTGGCCAAGAGTGCCAGAAATATGAACGTAGAAAGAAGCTGGATGAATATGTGACAAACACCAAGATACAGAAATACAGTCTTTATTTATCCAGAGAACAGTTACAAACCTGCCCACGTGCCCACCCCACACCTGACCACCTCCCTCTGCTCATTCAGTCCATGGGCTTGTGCCCAAGACTGCCAACAAAGGTGCCAATCATATTGGTGGTTTTGTGATGTGGACATTTCCGCCCCCCCCTTCAGGGCCTGAACTGAAACCAAGTCACTGGGAATAGACCCCCCTGAGAGCTGCCACGGGGTAACAGTCTGCAGTTCCCTCTGAACGGGGCTGGATTTGGACCTATCACTGAGCAGTCAAATGCTCCTTATTGCTCTATCAATGCCAGTCCCTCGATAAACAAGATACATTTTGGTTATATGAGAAACTTGCCATCCTAGATACACTAAATATAACAAACTGCCTCTCCGAGCAGACGTGAGATGTCTCCGGCACTTCCGTGCGGTACCTTTGGCTGCCAGGTCCTTGTCTGCCCCCTGCGATCGCCCGATCAGCTCTTCCCCACGGCGTTTCAGCGCTTCGAAGGTTGGCTGCAGTTTTTCCAGCTCCATGGTGGAATTTTTGTTTTCACTGATGCACTCCCTGATTTTATCAACTTCGGCTGGGATCACGGGCGGCATGCGCAGGCGGGAGGAAAGGTTCTCCAGCGTCTCCAGCATAGGCTCAATCTTATCGTGGAACTGAACAAAGGCAAGTCCATCAGGCAGGTTAGAGGACTGTACAGTACTGAATTACTCCAATGTATGCGGCATAATGTTCAGAGCATGCAAACTGCTCTCTTTTCTCAAAGAGAATTCATCTTCCCTAGAATGCCCATTACACCTGCAGCCTCCAATTTGATGTCTGTCACTGGTTTTGTCACTAACAACTGCATTCTGCAGCGGCTGCAGGAGTTAAACCAGATTGCAGTTAGCTAAGCCTACAGAGAGAGCACAGGAAACCGTGAACCAAATGCAGCAGCAGCTTGTTATTGTACCCAAACCCACAGAATTCAAGTCTGATTGACATCCCCTTCTCTCCAAAGGGCAGTGCTACAGGATGGGCATAGGAAAACTCAGTCACACTAGTCCTGACCCATGTGCCAGCACATTAGCCGTAACCTGCATGTGTTTGGCGACGCAGGGGCCTCAGCTCAGGGGAGCCTGGCATAGAAACCACCTCAACTCCCAACCCGACTGCAACCACCGGGTGGAAAGCATGTGTGTATAGGAAAGAAGAGAGAATGGGACGCTGTGTTGCTTTGGCTTCAGGTTTCTGCTGTTGCTTTGGCTGATCTTACTGATAAAGGAAGGAGATTTGGCATTGTTAAAGTTAGCGTTAAAGATAATCTAGTATTTACAAGACAGAATGAAGGGCAATAAGGGAAAGTTATTCTAACTAGATGTCTGCTCATGGAACTGGACCTGCTACTCGCACAATAGGAGAGCCTCTTGTTTCCACTGAGTTTCACATTATAACGGCAGCGAAAAAGAAGGAAATAGGTCCTAGGTGCAAACTCTATCGTCACTAGACTGTCTTAAAACTAACAAACTTGGGTGAACCAACCAGTCCCTCCCGCTAAGGCAGAATATGCTTCAGCGTAGATCTCTTTTATAGCAGTAAAATGTTTTTTTTCCCTACGGAACACTTGAATTTCTAAGCAGAAGCTCACTACCAAAGTGGAACTTCAATTTGCACATTGCAATAAAACAAAAGAGTTAAGGACTTTAATTCTTCAACCAAAATGGAATTTCCCTGTGTCTGACTTTGTTCTTAGCAGGTTCCATTGAACTGCATAAAGAGATATAATACAGTAGGAATCTGGGTATCAAATGAATTAAGACTCATCTAGCCCAAAGAATGAGAATGTAAACGAACGGCGAACGTGGTGAGGCTTACCTCTGAGATCTGCAATGGTGGGGCGCAGTCAACACAACAATGAAATGGGACCAGGTGGGGAAGACAGGAACAGGCAGCAACACACAAAGATAACACATTCCACAATGTGAGTGAGAGATGAGACGGAAGGAGTGTGTGTGTGGGGGGAAAAACTTGGAGTTAATACAAGTGCAAACCAAGAGAAGTGACTAAACAACGCAGGAATAAATAACCCAGACGTGACGACAAAACTGCTACAGTAAATATTAGCTGAAGTGAAACATAGCTACAAACACTAATCCCCGTTGCATGCAACGAAAGTTCTTCACATCCTTTCTTCACTTCAATTTGTACAATCTCTGCCCTTCCCTTCACATAGTTCTTCCCTTTTAGGACTCCTCCACAGAGCCCATATACAAGGGAAGATGATTACCTCTCCTATGTAAATGATCTTGTAGTTGTTCATTATACGTACAGTAGTTTCCTGCTTATCAGGAACAAGATCCAGTTCTCTAAGCGCTACTCACAGTCTTGCCAGACCCATCCATCACGGGCAGATGCCAAAAAGCCCTTTTAATGAGGAACATTATTAAGTCTGTAAACATTTATTACCCTGTTTACATCAGGATTCAATCTCTTTCTGTACAGCTTTTGCAAATCTATCAGCACCAGCCTTCCCAGACGCCCCTGGACAGGCAAGCACTATGCAGATCAACCCACCACGCACCAGCCTGCCAGCAAATGGCTTCCTAGAACAGATCTGAACAGTAATGGGCATTTAGTTGTAAGCAACGGTACAGAAGTAAACTTCAGAGCCTGCCTTCCCCAGGGAGCTGTGATAAACACAAATACAAAACTGCAGCTTCTTTGTGCGCAAGGAGAAACGTACCTGAGTGGATTGTGAAACAGCCTCATCTAGTGCCAGAGCTCGCTGGCGCACCTCCTCTTTGATTCTGGCATACATGGCCTCTGTGGTCAAATATTTCTCCTGTACCATCGCCCCTTCCTCAAGGTTGAGCTCCTTCAGCTGCGGTCCAATTTTCAGCAGCTTGTCAATATGAGGCTTATGTTCAGCTATAGACTCTCTTAGTTGCTATAGGATGGAAAAAATAGATGTGTATTCAAATTCACAGCGTATTTACTTCACGCCATCGACTTCCTGGGCATCTCTTGGCCCAGCATGGGTCAGCTACATGGTGCCTGGGTATTTCTAACATGCCAATCCCCATTATAGTCAGCCATCATGCTTGATCTTTGTCCAGCCTGCTACGGGAAGGCTTCCCCACTGACCTCAGCAGTATTTCCCCACCTTCAACCCCCTGCCCCAAGAAGCTGATATTCCCACACCCTCCAGGTGATAACTCTGATAAAGAGCTGCTCTTTCTTTGCCCATCTGTTCTTTTAAGCAGAACGCACACACACCCTATGGCATCATCACACCCAGAGGACAAATACATAGACGATCCATCTCCCATGGGTTTACAATCAAAATTTCTATTTAAAATACAAACTCTTAGGGGTGTGACACCTGAGCTGGATTAGATTTCTACAGATGTCACTGTGACAGACAGGTGGAAACTCCAAAAAGTGGAGCGCTTAGATAGTTGCCTGCCACCTACTGGTCTGCAAACTACACTCGTGGGTAAGGCTAAGGTTTTGTTACGGAGGCCATGGAATTCACAGAATCTGTGACTTCCAGAGACCTCCGTGACGTTTTCGCTTCAGCCCCAATGCAGTGGAGTTGGAGCTGTCAGCTGGAGGAGCCTCCCTGCAACTCCCAGCCACTGCAGGAGCGGGGACCCCGCAGCTCCCAGCTGCTGCCAGCGGGGGTGCCCCCACCAGCTGCTGTGGCAGGTGGACCCTGCAGCTCCCAGCCAGCACAGTGACCCTGCAGCTCCAAGCTGCTGCCGGCGGCAGGGGGGGACCCCGTTCTCTCAGCCACTGTGGGTGGGGGGAACCCTGGAGCCTGCAGCAGCACTGGGTGCTGTACCCGCCTCTCTCTCTCCATTTCGTCATAGTTATTTTTAATAAGTCAGGGACAGGTCACTGGCTTCCGTGAATGTTTGGTTATTGCCCACGACCTGTCCGGGACTTAAAATACCCATCACAAAATCGTAGCCTTATTCATCGGCCCTTTTACCTTGAAGCCTCCATTTTATACAGAGGGCGGAATCAGTTCTACCTGGTGTAAATGATACAAACAAAAACCTCTCCCCCTTACCCTCATGTCCTCTTGCTGCTGTTTGAGCTGCTCATGATCAATAGCTGGAGGGGGTAACTGTGCTAGAAGCACCTGTATTTCTTCAGTCCACGGGTTGAGCTCTTCATACGTCTCCCAGAACTGGCTCACCAAGGCCTGCGCGCGCTCTAAGCATGCGTAGCGCTCGGAGTTGAGTTGGCTAACAGCATCGTACTGCTCCACAAGAGACTCCGTTTTCTCCTAGAGGGAATAGGAGGAGGGTGTGGAGTTGGTGACAGATGCAAGGGCAGAGAAAACGAGCCGGCCGCATGCCGTGAACGGAAACGATGGAGTCCCACGTCTGCACACTGTAACGCCAACCAAAATGGTATCTGAGATCCCTACAATTTTGCCTTTATAAACACTGCAACAAAACTAGAAAATTAATAAATGGGAAACGACCCCCGTGGGTATTATTGTTTGGCACAATTAGAGATGGAATAATTTTAAATCAAGGAGAAAGATACAAGGAAACAGACAGATGCAGGAAATGTGCACTCTACTTTTCTCCCTCCCGTATTTAATCCATTACTTGCCAGGAGGAGCTCTGCTGTGTAAGACTCTCTCATGAGGTCTACATGTATCAAAGACATGGATTTACCTGTAACATAGCTTTCTGTTCTTCTCCACATGTTCCAAAGATCTCATTACGCTGGCTGAACAGCTCATCCATAGAATCTTTGTGTCGAATGATGTCTATGGAGAAAGCCTGTAGGAAGGAAATGTTCAGAATGATCTCCAAGCCACAAAACTTCTTGTCTTCCCACAGTGCTTGTACTGGGGGGGAATGGAGTTCAGAAACTCTGCCAAAGTGGCCAGATGACTGGTGAAAATGATCACCAGGTGGTCGAGTAAATCAGAGACTGTAAACACTCAATCAAATATCCCATGACATCCTCGTAATCTGACTTCACCTGCAGATTACTGCGTTTTCTTCTCAACTGTGTTTTGGAATTTCACTCTTAATAAATTAACATCTCTTTCAGAAGCCTGGAAAAAGCCAAGTGAAATTAAAGACTGGTTCAGACTTGGAGCATCAAGTTCATTTTTACTGCCCATGAACCCAGCCGCGCCTCACACCTTACACAGAAACTCCAGGGGGGCGATAGAACCCATCGCAATAGGCTGACCTTTGCACCCGACAGAAGAGTCAGGGAACTATTCCGAGTTCTGCCACTAATTTGAGTGTGACTTTAGGCAAGTCACTTTCCTAGCTCTGTCCCTCAGTTTCCCCACCTGCCATGAGATACGACCACTGACCCACTTCACAGGGGTGTTGTGAGGCTGAATTACATTTCATACAAGTAAAGCACTCTGAGACAAGACTGTTGATGAAAGGTGCTGTAGGACAACTATAATTTATATTCCGAAGGGCCATATGATTAACAATAGACCCACAACAGCGGAAAGCCAAGCTGAGCTCAATTTAACATCACATGTGACAGTCCTCTCTTTATGATAACACGGATTCTTTTTTCTTTCCTTTTTTTGCAAAAGCCGATGAGACTTTCTATTTCTATTGCTGTCAAGTCTGGGAAAGGATACAAAACTCTTTATTTCAAGCTACACCTGAGACAGCTGTTATTAGCTTATTTATCAATGAAGTCTTTTTTCCTTTGCACTCTTTGTTTGGCCTCAATTGTATTGTAGTGCTCAGCTCTTAACAACGATACAAAATCCAGGACATTTTTGTCCCAATTTTGGCCACCAGGAAGGAAAAAAGGACACCAAAGATGATTTTCCACTGAAGAGAGCAGTCAGTGATATGCAGATCTAAAATATGTACAGGTAGCCTCACTATTTGAAGTTCACTCTTCTCTAATGGCATTAACGTTGCAGCTTTTCATGACATTCGGACTTAGACTGCCCAGGTGGTTATGTCTATGCTAGAAGCCTCAAACTGACTTGTGTGTTGACCGAAGCCTAGAAGCCACCATGATCTAACCATGATTTTTAACGTTGGGCACCCAAAACCAAGTGGTTACTAAGATGTCTAAACACTCTGAACTCACAGCTCAGGGGTGTGAGCTGGCACCAGACTGACCATGTAAAATTGACAGTACATGGTATCAATTCCAGTAATAACTGCTATTAATGCAATACCATCTGGACTCTGAACATCACTTTCACAGAAAATCACTCCCTGAGGCTAAGCTAGATCCGAGAACGTGCAAAAGGAAAAAAACACCTATTCCGTGTTAAGGTCAGAAAATGTTTGCTAGCAAACCAGTGGAAGGGGATGGAAACTGGGCTACATACACCTACACAAACTACTTACAGATATGATTTAAGGTGGGTGACAAGGGAAGCTAATAAACCCGTGAAGAAAATGTGTGGAATATCATAGCTTCTAAGACATCTAAAAACATGGATATCTAAACAACTGGAAATTAGCCTAAAGTGGAGCTGGAGTGCTGGCAGGCCTGCAGTTAGAGGGCTAGATACCTTTATACGAAGAGTTGTTTGTCTGTCTAATTCAGCCACATTTTAAACCTGCAGGTCTTGTGGTATCTCAAAAATTCAGGTATATCTTGTCCTGGAGGGATCATTCTTAACTGACCACCTCAGTGACTCTATTACTTAAAAACCCAGCTGAATTGCTATTCTCTGGATAGGTCCATTCTCAGCTCTATAAAACTAACGTGCCTCCCTAGAGAAAGATCGTGCTTGTACCCTAACCAATAAACTCTCCATCCCTTCACACAAATGACTCACCCCCATGACTGAGCTTCACCCTTCCTACTCTAGCTCATCACAGCCACCCCCAGCTCAATCCTAGCTAATAAATTACCAACTTCCTCTCCTACATGATCAATGATTTGCCCTACTCCAGGCAAATGAATTAATATCACCCTGACATACCAATTAGCTGTTCCATTTCACTCACCACCTCTATTCAAGGAGCAATTTTCTTCTCCCCGCTGCTGCAGACAATGAATAAGGTCTTGCCCATCCTTTCACCCAACGAGCAAAAGTAGTGCATGCATATTGCACGTACCTTTTGGACCTGCAGCTGGGCTGTTGTCTGGTCTTGCTCCAGACGAATTGGACCAAGTGCCATCAATTTCCGTTTGGTCTCAGCAACCCAGGCTAATTCTGCATCAGCAGCTTGCTCATACTAGCGGATAGGGAGAGGAGACCGAGCGCAACAAGTTAGCGACACACACAGAGCAAGGACAGCATTTACACAGATGCACAAACCAACACGACAGCAACAGCGACACACACAGAGAGAGAGACATCCTCTGAAGCAAGGACAATGGTCTCATAGATACATATCTCCATACTACAAACAGCAAGGTGGACTCACAACTGGAAAAAGAGAAATGCACAGCCATGTGCAAAGGTAATAGGCACAGACCGAGCAGGCCTGATGCTGGACAAAGCAACCCCAAGGAAGAGACAGCCAGACAATGAGATGCAGTCACATACGTACAAAGAAAGACATGGAAAAACAACATAACTTTAACGCCAACACACACCAGTAGGTCTTATTCCCACATTTGATTTGAGGAAAATTACCAGGTTGTTGTTGTTTTTTTTAAAAAGCTTCCCCCCCAAAATTGAAAACAATTGCAGTTCTACTCTGAGTAATGTGGCAATAATTGCTCAACAATCCTGAGGTAACGTTTCCACAGAGAGATGCCTAGGACGAGGCTTAGCAGAATTCACTTTTTTAATCATTTTGAGGGATAACATCTATGTTTATTTTTAAGCAATTATGGGGAAAGGGTCAGGCAATAATTACGTAATGACCCGTGGAAGCTGAGATGCATAAAATGAAAGATTTAAAACTTAAAACACAAACTGTCAACATCAAATACAGACAAAGTAAACAGCCTTAAATCTGCCTCTGACAAATTCTTAAGCAGATTTTTTCTTCCTTTGCTTATCTTAAATTTTGATGCTCATGGATGGAAATATTCTTCACCAGTTTGTGCGTAGGGTGAAATGGAAGTTTTCTGACATTTACCAATAAAAACCGAATCCTTCCAAACCTACCTATGCAGCAGCAGACAGCTGTCCTAAAGGGACGCCATCCCTTTCAACAGCTATCTGCTTTTGCTCTGTGGAGACCCCAGGAGAGAACACACACTTTTTTACACGGTGAAAGTGAAACACAAGCTACATTTCCCCCTCTTTTAGCAAACATTTAAAGAGACAGTACCCACTTCTGCAAGAGAAATAAAAACAGCCTTGGGTTTTATCCGCAGGACTCCTATGAAACAGGCCAACAGTGGAAAGAGCTAAACAGACACATATCTGAATCCTCATAGGATTTAAAGCGGACATGACCAACTTCGCTAACCATAGTCCAAAATGTTGGTCAGCATAGTCCATTACACGCTGGGTGTTTGACGAACAGCTGCCATCAGGTGACATAATTAACACATCGTTGCCTGGAAGAGGGTACTGGCTTCTTTAGCAGGTTTTAAAGCAGAGAGCAGCAAGGCAACTTGCAAGTTTAGCGCTACAGAGTATAATGAAGCAAGCCCCTTAAATGCCCTTTCTGTCCGCGGGGAAAGAGACTGCTCTTTCACACCGCAGGTTTGTCTGGGTGAGTTCTGCTTGTGTTACCTGGGCGCAAAGCTACTGGCGAAGAGTTTAGCTCCTCACTGTCCTCAGTCCCCAAAGAATAAGGTGTTAGAAAGATTCTTATTCTGAAATAAATCCCCGGGCTGTCAGAATTATGGATTACATTTCTGGGCCTGAGAGTCGCCCGCCATCAGTTTTAGACACAATCCACTCGTGCCGCAACCCAAAAGCCAGGAGCACTAAGTTAAAACAGAACTTCTCTAAGAGGCACCGAACTATCACCAAAACCATTATGAAGGCAGCCTGTTCAGAAACCAGCTAGACTCTGTCGCCAGTTCTACCACACAAACTCCCAAATCTGTTCATTTCTCAGCATTAGCTGGTGCTTCCCCATCATGCAATTCTCACGTCTATAGCTCAAGTTACGTTGCTACTTAGAGGGAAGCCGTGGTGAATCAGCTGGCATGCAGCCCCCGCCAAACCCCCTCCTGAGTGAGCCACAAGAGACTATAAGGTTACCTGTTGTGACCTTTGTATAGCAGCATCTATCTCTTCCACTCTCTGCCGGACAGTGTCACTGACCATCTTGTACTGCTCGTTGGTATCTGACACGAGTTTGTCCAGCCCTTCACGGGCTCGCCAAGGCACCAGTCCCAAGAGGGCGCGGCTCACCTCATTCACAGTATCCAGAACAAGCCTGTGCTCCATAACCTCCTTCTTAAGCTCCTGAGGAAGACACGGAGCGAGAGCATATACAGTACATCTCAGTTAACATCCCCGATACAGAGTTGGCAAGAGGCTGTTCCTACATTTGAATCGTAATGGTCTTGCGGCCAAGTTCCCTTCATTCTTTTCACCGGTACAAGATCCCCAGTGGAGCTGTTCACCAGGTTATTGTTTAGCAGGACTGCCCGTTTGCCAGGTGCTGTTTGAACCCACAGGGGAAAGGAGAATAAGGCAGCATTCGTAAGAAGGCAGATACATGCACTAGCTAGGTGCACGTCTTGATGGGTCCAAGTAATTTGAAAGAGCGTTTTCAGCGAAAGGCTGGCATCCTTGGGGGAAACTGGCAGGGACAACACGATAAGAGACAAGTGTGGATGAGCAGGGAGGGGCAGCTGCGAAGGGCACTGAAGGCAAGGACTTGTAGCTTGAATTTGATGGGGTGAACACTGGGGAATCAGTCAATCAGAAGGATTCAAAGGGAGAGCAATGGGGTCAAAGTGAGGGAAGGGAAGATGAACTTGACAGCTGTATTTTCTATGGGGGGGGCCCCGATGTGGGTGATAGAGAGGCTATAAGTGAGGAGATTACAGGCAGCGTGTTACCTTCTGCTTTGTTAAGATAATTTTTAATGTATTAACTGATCTTTAAGATTTCTGAGCTGCAGCCTCCCATAAGCCGGAAAAGGATGGTGCCTCATTGGCTTCTTAAAGCGAAACATTGTTGCTATTATTTGTATTCCCGTCGTGCCGACGAGCCCTCGTCACGGACCGAACGGATATTTTCCCTTCCGTTACCCCCTGCTTCTAGGCGTTGCACTCTTAAGAGCAAATTCTCTCTCAAAGAGAATAATAGCAACAATATGTCGCTTGAAGAAGCCAATGAGGCACCACCTCTGCGGTGCATTCTCAATGCAGTGCGCAAGCTCTCTGGCTCTGGTGCATTCCCAGCTTTTGACATTGAGCTCAGTATTTCAAAAGTTCTGACCTTCTGCCTCTGCTGGAATTGGGGTATCTGCTCTCCAATAGGCGACTGCCCCCCACTGGACATCAGCTCCTCCTCCACCTCACTCATCCAGCTGGTCAGTTCCTCATGCGTGGACTGGAACTTGGTGGCCAGCTGCCGAGCCTGCTCCAACGTCCTGAGAGCCTTAGAGCTAGTGGCTGTGATGTCCGAGTAACGAGTCTTGATGCCATCCAGCTTCTCCTGGATTAGCAACACCTCTTCCCCTGAGAGATGGAGACACAGTTAGCTATGCATGTCCAAAGTTGGTTTTCTTTTAAAGTAGCCTGTTTTCCTGCTTTCTGATTTAAATGGCTACTTTCAGAGTCCCTTTTCATCAAGTCAATGTAAGCAAGAAGCCGTTTTCACAACCATGGAGCTAATTTTGCAACTGATATTTTCCTTCCAGCCAGGGAAAATTCCTCCTTCTTCCCACCATTGAAATGAAACCTGCAACGAAGTCTTTTTTGCTTGCGGTTCCAATAAAACCCTGACCTTACCAGTACTTTGTTCTTGACTAACGCGTGACACCTCTGAGAAAGAGGGAGTCATTTCTGAGAGGACAGGAAACGGAGGAGCTGGTTTTTTGTTATATCAACTTTTCTAGAACATTTGTTCATAATGCAGACTACCTCTTAGTAAACAGACTGCCTTAAGCACCACCTCTCCTCCCACTCACGAACGGATGACATCCACATGGCAACTGCAGCAATGGCTTACATAGAAAGTAATATTAGGAAAATGCTTGGTGTATTTTTAGCCTCTTTTAATGTGATTTAGCAGCTGGAAAGAAGGCGTTGAGCCTGTGCTGGGTTGCAAGCCAGGTCTGTGGAGATCACCAAAAGGTGAACCACCCAGAACTCTATTCGGGAACTTCTGCTCGACAGCCGTCGGCATGTTCAAGGGGAGGGCACGTCTACTGCTCTGTGTTTGTTCAGTGCCTAGCACAGTGGGTTGACCCTTAGGCACCACCATAACAAACATATTAAATACTAACTCATGGCCTACCACACAGAATGAATGTGTGTGGAACACCATCCGGCTCGGCAGCGTCTTAAAAGAAGCCAACATCAACAGCCTACTCTGAACCAATTATTGTAATCAAGAACAACCAGGCTTCTCAGGTAGGCCAAAGCTTGGCTGCGGGGAAGTGCCTTTATCAGACCAGGCGTTGCAGTCTGTTCATCTCTTCCGGTACCTGTGGTTTGTTTCAGAAGTGCTTGCCCGTTTTTAATGGCTTGGTCCACATTCTTCTTTCTGTTCACGATCTCCTCGTTCAGGGCCTGAATGGAAAGAACCAACAGCAGTTACCCTCTCCAAGAAGAGGCCCTTCAGCTGCGCAGGTGACCGAGTGCAGGAGAGAGAGGAGACGGACCCCAGGGAAAGCATAACTTTCTCTTTCTCTGTATTCCCCATGGATCAGAACCAGGTAGGTTGCATGTCCTTCCTGCTCCCCCACCACTACACTTCCCTGACAGGCTTAAGGTCTTGTAATTCAGGGCTAAGCACAGTTCTTTACCACCCTCCGCCTTTGGATCTGTATTCATGAAGCATCCACTCTTGTATTAGAAATTAACCAAAGACTAAATTTACTGTGCAAAGACTGGCATATGCTTAAAAACTTATACTGGCCTAGGTATGTTGGCCAGGAGTCTGGGAAAAAAACCACACCCCCCTAGCAACATAGCTATGCCTGATAAACCCCCTAGTGTAGACTCAGCTATGCCAACAGACGAGTGCTTCTGTCAGCATAGGTAATGTAATTCGGGGAGATGGTGTTACTACACTGGCAGACAAAACCCTGTCAGCATATGCTACATCTACACTGGAGGGTTATGCTGATATGGCCTATGTCTACACTACAGAGCCTATGAATGAGCGGAAACAGACCTTGCCTCTCAGAAGAGGTGTTCAATGCTGGACTAGGGCACATTCCCATGCTCTTTAAATTCACTTATTGCAGGGAGAAAGACTGGAAGCTCTAAAGAAAAGTCCTGGCAGGTCTTGTTTATTTAGCCCAGGAGTTGGATGCAAAACGTCTGAATAATTTACAGTCTATGGGACACCAGGACACCCTTTTTATTTTTTTTTGGGGGGAGGGGGTGGGTAGGAGGGATTTGAGGGGAGGAGAGTTGTTTTTAATAAATGAAATAAGTTTATTTTATCCAACTTGAGAAAAGAGAGGCTTGTTTTGATGTTGGTTAAAATTAGAGTCAAACAGAAACAAAAATGGATCAAAACAGTTGCTCTATAGCTAAATAAACAAACAAACAAACAAATAAATATGAAAAAATGGAAAATGGCAATACCAGCTGGTCGGCATGCTGCTTTTGCAGGACGTCCCGTTTATAATCCTTTACGAATACCAAGCTGAGCTTGTCCTCAACCTCGGCCAGCCAGTTGAGCACTTCCACCTCATCCTCCCCAAAGAGCCTAGCGTTGGACAACGCCTGATCAAGCAGGGCTGCCTTCCGGCAGCACCGATCTTGAATCTCGCTGTACCGGGCCTGCAGCGAGTCTAGCTTCTCTGCCAGCAAGCCCTGTTCAGCTACGCAACTCAGGGAGGTGAGAGACTGCCCAAGACTGACTGCCTGATTCACGTCAGCCGCGCGACTCTCTATGTCTTCCTCTAGTGCCTGAAAATCCAGGGTGACAAAATGGACAACAGACACAAATGATTGAAAATGGAATAAAATGGGGGAAAAAAACTAAAAGAATGAATTTAATTCATGATCAAACAAAGTAAAGACAAAACCCACCAAGAAGGGCACAAACTATAACAAATAAAAGGTTTAAATTGGTTGCAAAGAGTAAAAGACACAACAGTTACATAGTTACATTATGGCCAGAAGCAAACAATGGGCCACCCATGTTGTGATTTCTCAAGTTCTCTATTTCAAAAGCCTGTAACAGCTGCCCCCATCACCATGCAGACAGCTTTCTGCACATCTATGTGTAACAATGGCTGACGTCTTCCATCAACAGTTTTGTGTTTGCTTGGGGACCATTTCCTACCTTGTGACGGGTGATCTGTTGCTGGATTTTAGCTGTCTGAGTACCAATGGGCTCAGAATTTGACAGTTTTTTCTCCGTCAAAGATAGCCAGTCTGAAATAGGCTCAGTGGTCTCATGGAATTGTTTAGCCAGAACCAGGATATCTTCCAGTTGTTTTTGCCTACATCAAGATAACCACAAAGCTGCTAATTAGGCGTTAGGTCTTTTGTTAAAAAAAAAAAATCAGGAAAGTTAAGCAACTTAATGTTTGAGCGCCACCTTAACCATAAAGATTTTATTGCACTATGAAGCTTTTAACATGCTGCAGTGACTAGAGGTCTGAGTGCAAGGAAGAGAAACACCTCTCTTCAGTCCAGGTGTAACATCTTGTCAGGCAAACCGGAAATGGAAACACACACGTTCCCTAGCAACTGCAGAACAAGGCCCTTTTCACTGATGTTGTGTAAGGGGCCAAGACAACTCCCACTGAAGTCAATAAAAAAGGCTTCCGTTCTACACAATTAGCTTTTCTGCCATCAACAGCACTGTCATAGAAATCTCCCGAAATGACAAGGGGTATTGCTAGAATCCTTAAATGTCAGGCTTGTAAGGTGCTGGTGAAAGGTTCCAGATTGACAGTCCTTGAGACCGCGGCCTATTGATTCAACTGGAATTTCAAATACTGTAAACTGAGGTTGGCCCTTATGGGTGGCTCGACACATCATTATACTAACTAGACCATGCAGCAAACTGCATCTTGTAAATGAAATTTGTGCAGCAGAAAGGTGCAAACAGTTCTCTGGAGCTGAAAGTCAAACTAGGAGGAATAAAAATAAACCCGCACCGCGAAGAGAATTAATTTCATTTAAGCATCTCCACGGCACTATAAAACTGTGCCATCTGTTTCACCCTCCCAATGCACATTTTAGTTTGGCGTGTTTTCTGGTTGACACTTGCTGTTTCCAGGATAGTCCCGTAAAGGAATCTCACTGAACTTCCCAAGCGTTGCTATCTGATGATTACAAACAGCCCACGACAGCGGCCAGTGGATTAACACTGGCTGCAAACCCAAAGTGCTGTACTAGCAAGAACTATTCTAAAGATCTGATTAGCTGACTGCTGGATGGCCAACCAACGTACACTGAAAACAGTTTAAAAACACATGCACAAATGCTTCCGTCAGTCAGAAAGCAGCTTGTAAGTGTAGAGTGTAATACAAACAAACAATAATAAACTGGTCTTAGTCTAAAGTACCCAGGACAGCGAGCTCTGTAAACAATTCCAAAATACCGATCATTAATGGACATGGGAGAAATTGCCACTACACTTTGCCAATGTGTCAATAAGACGAGGAAACAGATCATTGCCAGACTGATAAGCAGTTTAAGGCAAACTCTGGGCCTTTTACATGACTTTACAATGAAGTAGGATATCCCAGCAAAATACAGATTCTAAGGCTGGAAGGGACCACTGTGATCATCTAGTCTAGAGCAGAAAAGAAATTCAGAAGCTTTCCAGTGACAATATGTTTCATGCTTGTCCTCCACCCTTAAACAGGCAGCATATTCTACCAGATACATTGGTGGAAAGAACATGTTTCATGCTGGGCACAGAGGAATTTCTCCGCTTTCAAAGCTGAGACAAAATGAAGTCACTTCTTTCCCACTTTTCTTCCTTACCTGGCTGCTGCCTTGCCAAGCAGTCCTGCCCATCTATTTTCAAGACTCTCCAGCTGGCAAACAATCTTCTCTCGGTCCGTTGGCTCGGCCGACTGCGCTATCCTTCCGCCCTCTGCCTGAATCATCTCGACAGTGGCCTTGCGATCATCCAAGAGACGCTGGAGCAGCTTTTACATAAACATTAAAACAAAGAGGGATAAAAGTTACCAAGTTGAGTCAGCAGAGCTACTTCTGCCTCCAAACACACCAACCCTCTAATTGTGTCTGAAAACTATTAATAAACACTGGGCTGCATCCAAACCCAGCTGAGCAAATCAACAACAACAAGATTTTTTTTCCCTCCCAAACTCAAAAGACCATAAAAATGCCTCCAACAAATCCAACACACTTGATTCAACAGAGAAACTTGAAACTTGCTCCCCAAACTGTAAACGTTATGTTTTAACGTTCGCTCGAATCTCCTATTAAAAAAAATCTCACCGTACGTGATGAAGTTTTGTGGTTTTTTAAACTTTGTTTTACCATTATTAACATTTATGAACGTTCCATATGTTAACAAGTCTTATTCATAACCTGTATGTGTTACCTAAAGATAGGGTGACCAGCTAGCAAGTGTGAAAAATCGGGACAGGGGATAGGGGGTAATAGGCGCCTATATAAGACAAAGCCCCCAAAATCGGGACTGCAGCCGGTCACCCTACCTAAAGACCAATTTGTGTTTGGCCAACCCTCTTCTCTGTTTTTTTATTTTGTTCAAATTCCAAAACCGAAACCATACACTACAAAATCTATTTGATCCAGATATAAAATAGTTGTCAGCATGAGCAAAAACAAATGTGCTGTTGTTGAAGAAAAAGAAACAGGCAGCGAATTTCACGACAGTATGACAGCAAAATAGTACTGGAGCTAGAGAGCCAATCTGCCTGTCCTTCATACAACTCTCATTATTAGCCTGTTAAGATGGCAGGCATGGGGAACAAGACCAGAACCCATACAGTATAATGGTAGAACGTGAGAAAGCCACAGCTGCGGAATGGCTGCCGTAAACTAGCAGAATTACATGAAATCACAGTTACCATTTATATTTTTAAAATGATGGAGCAGACACACTTGTTCGGCTACGAGCAGCGTACTGTGCTCGTGGCCTCTACATCCTTCCCTCCTGGATATGGTTTGGCGTTCACTATCTCCAGGTCACTTACCTTCTGCTCTTGGATCTGAGCTTTCACCACTTTGTATTCAGCAGAGGGAGGTTTCTGATTGGAGATGAGCTCCTCTGTGTCTACCAACCAGCTCAGCAATGGCTCCAAAGCGTCCTGAAACTTCCCACAATGCAACAGGGCCTCTTGTAGCTGTGTGATTCTCTGTGCCACCTGCATTGTACATACACACGTCACTAGAGGAAAAGCGTCCTCAAGTTACACTAGGTGACAACAGAGCAACTGCTCATGGTCTTTGGCACTGTTACAGAATCAATGGCTCTGTTTCAACTCTAGATGCTGTTCCCTTTATGTCAGCTGGCTCACCTGAGCCAAGACAACGGCTTACTGCATCAAGCAACGAAGGCTCCTCTCTCCAGAGGTGCTTACCTTTTTGTTGAGAGTGTTCCAGCGGGCGTTGATCTCCTCCATGTCATGTTCCAATCCCTGTACGTCGCAATTTTTTCCTGCACTCTGGATGAGTCCCTGACCCAGTCCGTTTACTTGTTGCAGTTTTACCTGAATGGGATCCACTTGCTCCTTCTGAAACATCTGAACAAGAAAGGGGAATTGATTTATAACCTTCAGTTCCCTTACGCAGCACCGCCTCATCTGCTAATGGATACACTTTAGACTACAGTTCCCAACCTTCTCCAGAGAGCAAGCAGAACATTTTCCTTTCGCTTCTTCTGGTGCAGTTACTTATTTTTTTTAAAGGAGGTTTGTTTGTTAGTTTGTTTAAATCTTTCATCTGCCCATATCCAGTATAATCATAGAATCATAGGACTGGAAGGGACCTCGAGAGGCCATCTAGTCCAGTCCCCTGCACTCATGGCAGGACTAAGTATTATCTAGACCAGGGGTCTCAAACTCAAATGACCACGAGGGCCACATGAGGACTAGTACATTGGCCCGAGGGCCACACCACTGACCACCCACACCCCCGCTGCCCCAGCCCCACCCCTTCCGGGAGGCCCTGCCCCACTTCTTCCCATCCCTTCCCATTCCAACCCCTTCCCTGAAATCTTCCCTCCGGGAAGCGGCCGGGACGGCGCGGGGGCGGGGCAGGCAGGCAGGGAGGGAGCCTGCCCTACCCCCGGTGCGCACCGGGCCAGAGCTGCTCTAGGTAAATGCTGGGGTGGCCGCGGGGAGCTGGTGGGCTGCAGAAAATAACTCTGCAGGCCGCGTGTTTGAGACCCCTGATCTAGACCATCCCTGACAGCTGTTTGTTTAACCTGCTCTTAAAAATCTCCAATGACGAGCACTTCAAGTATCTACAGGTCTCAGGCATAGATTATGTCTCAGACGCAGCCATACAGTCTTTTAAATCTGTAAATCCCATGGAGAAGCCCCACCTAGATAGCCAAGACCCAGTCACTTATGTGACTTATACCAAGACCCAGTCAGATGCTCAATAACAGAAATCAAAGCAAATCTTATCATGGCAGCGTTGAATTGGGATGGGCTCTACACTATATGAATTTTGTCAAACGATCGAAACTTTAGACACTGGGAAGCATACTGTATTTGTAAAGACCAAGGGAACAAGAGAAAGGCAATGGACGATTAATGTGTTAGCTGTTTATCTGAGATCATCCCATGTATTTGGCAGAATCCTAGTCTGCAAGTCCTGTGGGGAAAGCATTCCAACCAAAAAAGGGGTTTTGGAAATGAAGGAAGGAACCTTGCCGTTGGGAGGAAGAACAGCAGGGAAAATCCCGTTTTTCAAGGAGATAAGTGCCCTTATCAAAGACTCAAATCTCCTGTAATTAGCTGATGATAAGCCAGACCCTAGCAGTCTGTATTCATTTCCTTTCCTCCACAATAGTGTCATTCAGTCTCAATGAGACAAGGCAGCCAACCAAGGCCACACTGTGCAGGAAACGGGGGAACATGAAAGGCAAATTCTGAGCAAAATCTGAGAGGTAGGACCAGCTCTGCTTCATCATAATGAATAACACAATCCAAAACAGGGATGGATACATTGTTCAAACAGGGCCTTGGGCTGCTAGCTAGAACAGATCATAGGTCAAACGCTGACAAATAGAAGAACAGGAAAGATTACAGTGCTCTCTCTGTACTCACAACCATCTTCCTCAGAGATAAATGCAGACAACCTCTCTTTCTTTTTCAAGTGTGCTTGAAAAAAAACACCATGTACCCAAGGATATGGATATTGACAAAGTCTAAACATTCCATTTCAGATAGACTTGTGTCAAAAACTCCTGAGAAGCAAGCACTCGAGGAAGGTTTGGAAAAGGTCTCTGGTATCAGACAATTGCTTTATCTCCGAAGGGAAGAAAGTCAGTGACACGCTGCCTATAAAGACAGCCTGCCTTCTGTTGCTTTGCCACATTTTCAAAGAAAAATCTTTTCCTCCCCAACTGAAGTTCAGCAGCTTGTCTACATCGTGGGACTATGCCAGGAATATTAACTCAAGAGTGCTGGAAGACACAGTCCAGAGCTATACGCTCGTGCAGAATTATTCTATGGTTATAAGAAGTGATGGTGACATGAAATAGCTAATTCTCCAAACACTTCTGTTACTGCTCTTATATGGAGCTGGCTGCCTTACATGAAAGGATCAGACTGATAAGTCAGGCATGCAAACATTTGACTGGAGCACTGTGCCTCTTCCAGTGTACTCTGACCTAAGCCTTTAATATAAAACTGGCCTTTCTTTTTTTTTTTTTTGGTAACTAGAAGCTTTAAAACATTTTTTTTTCCAGGATCCAAATGCACAGCTCCTGACACCCAGCAATGAATAACTGCAAGGTGTGTACGCACAATCCAGAAACCAAAGCCCATTTCATGAGGATCATTTAAAACGCAATCACATGCATAATCGCATTAAGAGCGAATATTTCTAACACATTTATTCTTCAAAGCCAATATGCATACACAAGATTCCAATGTTTTAATTTATTAAGCTTCACTGGGACTCAAATTTGAAACAAATATTTAATGTGCAATCTATCTTTTACATAGAAAAACATGATGAGTGAAGTTTCTGAGAAGCTGTATTTGGTTAACTGCATGGACTGACATTCTCGACTAAAGGCCCGGGATCTGTTCAGGTACGTCCCTCTCATTTTGAGAGCCACTTTCCAATGACTCTCTTTAAATTCTACTTTGTTCCTATCATGGATGACTGCATCCTGTGATCTCACTCCACTTCTTAACCCTTTTATTGCCGAACACAAAAACAGGCATTATTTGGTGATTTCCTGTAGGAGTGCCAGCACTCCCTCGGAACAAACATTTCAAAGGGAACATATGAGGATACGTGTTACAACATTGGGAGTACTTTTTTGCTTCACGCCCCTGGTACTTTAGCCATAACTCAGCTGGTTAATGCTAAGATACTCAAGGTACAGGGCATTTTCCTGATGCAAACCTAAACCTATCAATGGCTCGAGGCATCACTGGTTCCAAAGGGTTAATAACTAGAAACATTTAATGTAAAATACAGTCCCAATGGAGAAGCAACAATGAAACTGAAGCAGTAAATCCCAGATAATAGCCACATCAAGTCAGTACCTTGATGTCTCTCTTTCTTTCCTAATTTACTGACTGGAACTTGGTTTGGCAGTGAAGGCTGCACTTGAAGCAAAAACTCAGTATAAACTGATTGCCCTCTCCTTGGGTTCCCCTCCATTTCAAAGCAGTTCTCTGATGCTGAGGTGGCTGTGGGGTTTTTAAATGGGTGGCATAGTGTAAAGGATGAAGAATTGCCGCTGAATCAGGTTTATGGGCTGGGCAATTGGTAATGTCTTCCCAATGCTTGTTCTTCTAACCTACATGGCTGATCAATTAGGGTTCAGATATGGGAATACCATGCATTAAAAAAAACCTGATACTCTTTATAGCATTTTTAAAATTTTCTTAATACAAATGTTGTTAGCAAAATACTGAAAAGAATTACACTTATTTTTCTCCTGATATTTCAGAACCTCTTTGCCCCTCTTTATCATTTAAGAAAACCTTAAATGAGCGCCTATTGTATAACATGTATGCATTGTTTTCACTCCATTTGCTTTACAAATTCTCTTTAGTAACAGAATTTTGTATTTGAAATGGTGCATCTAACTTCAGCAAGAAAAATCTTCCCGTAGCAATCTCTAATTTACTTTTGAGTAAGCATAATGTATTTGAATAAGTAAGTCACTTGAAAAGTTTAGGGAAAGAATTTTCATAATCTAACAATTGTCATAGTTTACCTCCCATGCTTGCAAAAGATATATATTTCCCACCCCCAAAGCATTGGCCTACAAAATTGAACTCTTTTTAATTGGGAAAAGACCTACCTCAAGGTTTACAATACAGAAAACTGATATGACAGAGGGGACAATCAGTGCAGTCTGTACCCCACAAAAAGTGTGAGCAAACTGTCAGCTAGGTAGGAGTCAGGACTTCTTCTCCCCACCCCCACAAACGAAGGGATTTCCTGTCTGACACACCCTGTGTAAGTAACTGAGTAACAAATACCTCATTATCTGGAACTAATCCATCTGTTACAGCAGGAGCCCCTTCCGCCACAAGAACTGTGATAGGAGGCCCTTCTGTGTCCGTCACTGTGGTAGCCAACGCTTTCACTCCAGATGCTGTAGAAGATAGTTCTTTTGCTAGGAGGTGTAAGAGAGGAGGGGGGTCTTCCATTCCCAACGCAGCTGCAGGAAGCATCTGTGTGCTGTGCTCTGAGGCACATGATGCCCTGGGTGCCTGGCCAGAGGCAACAGGCTCCTCCAGCCCAGGTGATGCAGTAGCAAGCTCCTCCATGCTGAATGGCAAGGCCGTGGCCAGCTCTTCCATCTCTTGTGGGGACGCAGCATGCTCCTTTGTGCTGGAAACTGCAGCAGCGTTAAGCTCTTCTGGTCTGGATGCTGCAAGGACGGGAAAGCCTTCCACACCCAGAGTGTCAGTGGGAAGCTCCTCCATGCTGGATGGCATGGCAATGGTAGCATGTTCCTCGGTATCTGGCACTCCTAATACAGGCTCCTCCGCAGCTGGCGGCTTGGCCTCGGTGACAGGCTCCTCCGCAGCTGGCAATGCTGTGGGGAGCGTCTCTGTGCTGTCTAGATTGCGGGGGGCAAACTGCTCTATGCTAAATGCGGCTGCAAGCTCCTCCTCAGCGGTGGCGACCATGGAAGGACGCTCCCCTGCGCCAGCACACGCGTGTTCCACGCAAACTGGAGAGCGAGTATTCCCACATGCAAACTGTATACCAGCCACACAACTTATCTCATCTGCCCAGCTGGGTTCAAACAGCCAGGCCAGGTCTCCTGGTTCCCAGGTATCGGCCTCCCCTGTGGAAACATCCAGCATTACCTCTCCAACCATTCCTGGCACGTCCTCCTGAACAACATGGGCACTTGGGAACTCTTCACCAGGAGTAATCCCTTCCACATGCAGCAGCTGACCCAGAGGCACTGTTTCTTCTGACTGCAGGTCCTCAGTGGACTCCACCCATGCCTCAGAGTCCTGCTCGGACATAGAATCACTTGGAAAAGTTGCTTGAGAAAAACAGTGAGTATCTAACCGTTCCGCTCCAT